CATGAACGCTTCCAACCCTCTTTCAAAGCCGCCTTTACTTCTGCGTAAAGAAGTCCTTTCTTTTATCCATCCTGAATCTTTTCAACGTTCAGCTTCGTAGGGCGTCGAGTTGTTTTTTTTAAAAAAATATAAATTTTATTAGTATTTTCCACACCACCACAACAACACAAATAATATCGAAAAATAACAATACAGTGGTACCTCGGGTTACATACACTTCAGGTTACAGACTCCGCTAACCCAGAAATATTACCTCAGGTTAAGAACTTTGCTTCAGGAGGAGAACAGAAATCCCGCGGCGGCAGCGGGAGGCCCCATTAGCTAAAGTGGTGCTTCAGGTTAAGAACAGTTTCAGGTTAAGAATGGACCACCTGGAACGAATTAAGTACGTAACCCGAGGTACCACTGTACACAAAACACCAAAATCAACGTCAAGGAGTTCTTAACGTTAGAAGAGAAGGGTCAAAGCTTTTCTCTATCCACTCTGCATCATTCTATAAACGTCTGTCACCCATCAATGGACCTGGATGAGTGATGGCTCTTTAGTTCCAGCTCCCAGTGTGGCTAATTTTGGGGCAACCCACGTTTCGCCATCGATTGGAGCTACATGTTTAGCTTCCTCCCTCCTGCCCCAAATATATTTGTCTCCCATCCAAATGTACACAAGGGCTGTTCTCCCTCTGAGGGTGAGAAATTCCTTCCCAGCTGAAAAAATCTCATTAACCTCCAAGGTTTTCCAGCCTCTGGCTTCGGGCAAGCAGCTTTTCTGAGGGCTGGGGCGACCCCCCCCCCCAGCACTCTCTGTCCCCATGTTTCCTGCCTCTTTGAACAGATGACATCTCGATGCTTTATAGGAGCCAATCTCTGCATTTCTCTTCTCTGCCTCTTGGCTGAAGGACTGAATCAACCAGTTGTTCTGGTTGCTGAGGAACGCTGAGATCCAGTTTCTCTCACTGAACCAGCCTCTGAGCCTGCAAATCTCACAGCCAGGTTAAGGGGCAAAGCAGGACTTGCTGCTGGCATTGCTGTCCTCTAGAGTGGGCAACTGGAGTCCAAGCCATACCTGAAGACTTCCTGGAGCCACCTGATTGGCCGTGGTGGAAAACGGGACTTGGGCGGCGATGGGCCTTCACTCTGATCTGATGGGCTCTCCATTTGCCATGGTCAGTTTTAGGGCTGGGCGAGTCCTGGGGTTGTAGTAATGTTGCGCCGGCACGCCCCTTCCTCACCTGTCCTGCAATCCAGCGGGACCAGGCTGAGAGCCTTTGGCCTTTGGTCTTCCCATAGTACCTTGATTCAGCTTGACCAAAGTTTGTCTATTGAAATTTCCTAACTTCACTACAGGAGTGGTCTGGCGAATCTTAAAAAAATGCAGAATAAACCCCGACAACTGGCCTGCGAGCGCTCCAATTGGAGAACAGCCTTTACCAAGGGTGTCATAGCTTTTGAAGACACTCGAACTCAGGACGCAAGGGAGAAACGTGCTAAGAGGAAGGCACGCTTGGCAAATCCACACCGTGATCAACTCGCGCCTGGAAACCTACGTCCCCACTGTGGAAGGATGTGTGGATCCAGAATTGGCCTCCATAGTCCCTTACGGACTCACTCTTAAAACTGTTTATGGAAGACAATCTTACTTGCCTCCGAGGGACCGCCAAAGAAGAAGAAGAAAGGTTTTATGACTCGGTACAATGCAAGTCCATGTTTAAACCATCCCTTTTATCATAGCTGTCAACTGTCCCTTATTTGGCGGGAAAGTCCCTTATCCCAGCGCTGTGTCCCACTGCTGTCCCTTATTGATGATGTCCCTTAAACTTCCCGGGTTTCAAAGGAAGCAGCTCCTCTCCCTCCCTCCCTGCCGGCCAGGGAGGAGGGAGGCTCCAACTGTGTTGTTTGGCTGCTTTGCTCACCCAATAAGGAGTCTAAGAACGACTGGGGGGTGGAGCTTGCATGCCTTGTGCAGATCAAATTGGCCGCGTTGCCTGGGGACTCGCCTTTGCTCAGCACTTCCCAGCAGAGAGGTGACGGTGGTTTTCCTTGCTGCATCCCCTTTGCTGGGTTGCTGCGCTGTGGGAACCACCGCTTGAGGCTTCGTTTGGCTGCCGGCTGGGCTTTCTGCTTTGGCTCGGAGGGGCTCAGAAGTTGAACATGCCTGTGCTTGGAAAATCCCTTATTTTGGCTGCTGATCCCTTATTTTTGAGGCTGCTGGTCCCTTATTTTCAAATCTGTAAGTTGACAGCTATGCCTTTTATTCAGAACCATGAGGACTAGGATCTCACTTCCTTTTGAAGGCCTGCAGTTCAGTGGCCTTGCTGAGAGAGCTGCTGCCAGTCAGTGTAGCCAGTACTGAGCTCAGTGGGCCACTGCTCTGGCTCAGTTAAAGGTGTCGTTTTCATGCTGCTGTGTTCCTAAGTTGCTAACGCTCTGGTAGAAAGGTTTTTCCCCCCTTTGCTTTTGTTCCTCCTCGTTGCACTCGAACCCGCAGCCCAGCTATTTTCCTTCCCGAAACGCCTCATTCCTGCCCCAGCCATTAAAAAAACCCACGCAGGGAGTGCTTTCACCCACTTTCACGGCGCACCTCATGTGCCCTCTGAAAATGTCTTCTGCATGACAGAAGGTGCCCCGAGGCCCCGAGACGGGAGAAGCAATAAATTATAGAAATGCAGATCACAGTCTTTTTCTCCCCTGGTTTGGAGCTAAATTTGTCTTTTAAGAGGGTGGGGAGAAAGAGCAAATTTCCGCAAGGGAAGCTGGTGATTCACCCAGACGGTGCTTTCTTCTTTTTATGAGGGTCTGTCAGGCAATCTGGAAACAAGAAGTTCAGAAGGACATTTCATTCTCTTTCTCTCGGGCAAAGGTGTAAAAGAGAGGGATTGTGTGCTTGGATCCTGCTCAAGTGTTTCCCATTGGGCCACTGTGAGGACAGGATGAGCCCCCCCTCTGGCCTGATATAGCAGGTTCTTCTTCTGCTCTGTGGAACCTCCAGGTCCAGAGTCAGTCTATCTGGATTCCTAGGTTCATAGGGGCATTGAGCAAACACGATGGGCAAATCTGCCCGTTTTTGATTCTCTCTGTTTCTTTTCTTTTTAAAAACAACCTGAAGTTCTCCAGATTTCCGCAAGTTCTTCTTTCAGCCTGGATAGCTCAGCTTGTTAGAGCATGATGTTGAGAATGCCAGTGTTGCGGGTTCAATCCTGATACAGGACAGCTGCATATTTGGTTGGAATAGATATCCTCAGGGTCTCTTCCAACTCTATGAGTTGCAATCTGCTTGCAATCCCTGCCCCTGCAAAAAAATGTGGATATTTCATCCACATTTTAGGGCGAGTTTCTCCTAAAGCACACATTTTTTGCAAATCCATTTTCGCCCAGGTAAATTGCATATCGTATGCTATTTTCCTTTTGCACAGATACTCTCATACACCCTGGTGTTTGCGTTTTTGCATTGCAAAATGAAGAAACGTCCGAGTTTCAAAAGTTGGCTGTGTTTCCATCCACACTCCTGATTTCTGCCTTTATTTATATGAGATGATGGGTGGATAGGCGATATCAGGGACATGTAGCTTTTTGCTTTGTTTATTTAGAGAATTTGTACCAGGCTCCTCAGCCGAAAGATGCCCCAAATTGCCGTATAAACAATCCATCCGAGCCAGACAGTCTCCGCCTGCAACCCTATAATCTAAAAAGACAATGACACACATGAGGAAAGAGCACGTGGAGGGCAGAGGAGGAAAAAAAGCAGTTCTCACGAAGACCAGCTGGCATCGGGAGACTGGGTAGCTCAGTAGGTTAGTGTATGTTGCTGGTAACAGCAACGTTGCAAGTTTGATCCCCATAGGGAACAGCTGAGTATTCCTGCATTGCAGAACTTTCTTCCAACTCTAGAATTCAGTGATTTCAGGCAGAGCTGTATGGAATGAACCCTGATTCCCAACTCTCCCACTGATGCAGCCTGATGGATTGGGTGCTGCCGGACTGAACAAATGAAGCAATAATAATAATAATAATAATTTATTTATACCCCGCCCATCTGGCTGGGCTTCCCCAGCCACTCTGGGCGGCTTCCCAAAAAAATACTAAAATACTGTAATACATCAAACATTAAAAGATTCCCTAAACAGGGCTGCCTTCAGATGTCTTCTAAAAGTCTGGTAGTTGTTTACATCTGGTGGGAGGGTGTTCCACAGGGCAGGTGCCACTACCGAGAAGGCCCTCTGCCTGGTTCCCTGTAACTTGGCTTCTTGCAGGGAGGGAACCGCCAGAAGGCCCTCGGAGCTGGACCTCAGTGTCCAGGGAGAACGATGGGGGTGGAGACGCTCCTTCAGATATACTGGACCGAGGCCGTTTAGGGCTTTCAAGGTCAGCACCAACACTTTGAATTGTGCTGAGAAATGTACTGGGAGCCAGTGTAGGTCTTTCAAGAGTGATGTGGTCTTGGCGGCCACTCCCAGTCACCAGTCTGGCTGCTGCATTCTGGATTAGTTGTAGTTTCTGGGTCACCTTCAAAGGTAGCCCCAAAGGCTACTCAAAGGCTTCTCTCTCTCTCTCTCTCCAGTCAATGGAAAGAACCACTTTGCTGCATGTTCTGATAGTTGACTCCATCCTGGGACTCCGCCAAGGCCGTAAAAGTGGCTGAAGGTTTAAGAAGCAAGCTGCCGGTCCACATTTCATCATGCATTCCTCTCTCTCTCTCTTCCCCCGCTTAATCCCTGGCGCTTTCCTTGATATCATGCAACCCTCCAGCCAGGGAGTGGCGGCTTCAGAGCGAGAGCCTTTCGCTTCTGTGTGTGAGGAGGAAAGAATCTCACTTGTCATGGGGCCTCCTTCGCAGCCTTGAGCGAACAGGTAGATGGGGGCTGGCCTTAGGTTGTCCTCAGCACCACCCAAATAAACATCATGAGACCCGGCCTGCGGCGAAGGAAGGGCGCCCAAGAGAAGCATGTCTTCCTCCCTCCCTCTTCCTCGTGTAGCTGCAACACGACAGCCCTGCGGTGTTGCCAGCGGGCCTTACTCTCCGGGAGTTGCTGCTCTTCCACTTAATCTTGCAGCTCAGATGGATAGGGGGCCTGGCAGTGGGGTAATGAGATCCCAAGTCAGTTGGCCAAATCGGTCAGGTCTCCTGGGCAGGCACCTGAAACACCGTTCTGCATCTGAGAGGTGACAGACCGGATTAGAGTAATGGCAAGGCAAACAACAACAACAACAACAACAATTTATTATTTGTACCCCGCCCATCTGGCTGCTTTTCCCCAGCCACTCTGGGCGGCTTCCAACAAGGATTAAAAATACATCAAAATGTGACACATTAAAAACTTCCCTGAACAGGGCTGCCTTCAGATGTCTTCTAAATGTTAAGTACAGTGGTACCTCGGGTTAAGTACTTAATTTGTTCCGGAGGTCCGTTCTTAACCTGAAACTGTTCTTAACCTGAAGCACCACTTTAGCTAATGGGGCCTCCTGCTGCCGCCGCGCCGCCGGAGCACGATTTCTGTTCTCATCCTGAAGCAAAGTTCTTAACCTGAAGCACTATTTCTGGGTTAGCGGAGTCTGTAACCTGAAGCGTATGTAACCCAAGGTACCACTGTAGTTGTTTATCTCTTTGACATCTGGTGGGAGGGCGTTCCACAGGGCGGGCGCCACTACCGAGAAGGCCCTCTGCCTGGTTCCCTGTAGCTTTGCTTCTCCCAATGAGGGAACCACCAGCCCCAAACGGGGGCCTTTCTTCACATGGCCCCCACCAACATGCCCCTTTCCCGCAAAGCCCCAGAATTTCAGTTCCTTGGCCAGCTCCCCACCTCCAGAAGGCTGCCCCCCCGCCACTCAGCCACAGCCCCAAAAGCAGGCCAGAATGTGCGCATCAGCTAGTAGGCACCAGGCATCAAGGCTCATGGAACTATGGCACTCGCTCCTTCAGGAGGCAGCTATGGCCACCAATGTGGATGGCTTCAAAAGAGGATCGGACAGATTCACGGGGGACAAGAAAGCTATTGACGGCTACTAGACACGGTGGCTGTGCTTTACCTCCACAGCTGGAAGGGGAAAGTGCTTCTGAATCCCAGTTGCAGGGTACCACCGGAGGGACGTGAACTCCTGGGCTTGGATCCTGTTTGCTGGTTCCCCACAGGCAACTGGTTGTCTGGTCGCTGGACTAAATTCATTGACTCATAGCATTGCAGAGTTGGGAAGGTACTCCAGAGTCATCTAGCCTAACCCACTGCGAGGCAGGAATCTGAGCTGAGCAGTGATGCTCAGCTGTGATGCTTCGACTGGCTTGACTACCCCCTCCCTGGCTTGCAGGGGCCGCCCCTTGCCGTCTGTGCCGCTGACCAGCTCCCCCTTGCGCCTCTTCCCGCGAAAGATGGGAGGGGGTTTTCCCTGGGCCAGCCTACCCAAGGGGAGCGCTTCTCCTTTAAAGCAGCCACGTGGGCCCGCTGCTGGTGAGGAGCCTGCCCTGCTTTCCCCGCGCCGAGGAGGAGCTGGCGCCGTGTCAGTTTCACCCGCCCAAGCTCGCCGGGGAAGAAAGAGGAGGGTGTCGGATTCGGCCAGGACCGTTCGCGCATCTCCATCCGCATCGGCGAGCAAGGGGGACCCGCAGAGCAGCGGCAGCTGGAGAGAGAAGGAAGGAAGGAAGGAAGGAAGACAGACCCGGGAGGGGGACGAAGGCCAGCCAAGCGCATTGCAGCAGCGGGGGGCGAAAGAGGAGCCCCCACTACGCGCGCGACCTCCACCAGCCCGATCGCCTCTGCGCTTCTTTCCTCCCCACATCGCAGAGCCAGGAGAGGCAGTTTGCCAAGCCGCCCGCCCGCCCCCATCCCAAAAAGGAGGGCCCTTCACTGCCACCCTGCAGCCAAACTAAGGAACACAAGACGCCTTTTTCATTTTGGAGAGGGGCGGGGCTTCTGGAGACAACCTGGGCTGAGAGGACCTTGCGCCCTCTTTTTGCGCATCTTTTTGCGCAACGGGTTCCCTGGGAATTGGAGAGGGGTTTTCCTCTCCCTCTTGGCGCTTTGACTCTGAAGGCACATTCACACACCAACACCCCTTCGCTGGCTCTTGCACGCCCCCTCCCTCCCTTGAAAGATCAATACTCCACGCACGCACCGATTTTATTTTTTTATGGGTCACAAAGCGACGTCGCAATGCTGTCCATGTCCAAGACGTCTTTTAAAATTAAGCAACACCAGGATCCAGGGGTAAGTCGACTTCTCTGGCGTTGCGACGCTGAAAGGGGTTGGAGGAAGGGGGTTCCCCTGGCGGGGTGAATGGGGGTGGGGGCGTGTGCGTTGAGCGGTGGGGTTTGAGGCTGGGTCACCCCGCGCTGGAACCATAGGAAATGATATTGGATGCTGGCCATTTTCCATAGACAATTATTCTAAATGATTCTTCAAAATGTTCCAAGAGGTTGGGAAATGCTGGCCGTGAATAATGGACTTATGTCAACTAGATATCTAGGGCACCTCTCTCTTAACTATCTAGTTTTCTGAATTAAACTTTGCAGATTTGCTTTTGCTTCAGGGCACAGCCCTTCTGCGCATTGTGTGCATGCCCTACCTTTAAAGCACATTCAAAACACACAATAAGAATTCCAGGAACTACAGTTCCCAGCACCCGGCGCTGGTTGGGGCTGATGGAAGCTGTAGCCCCAAACATCTGGATTTGGCAGAGGCTGTCTCATCTAAGCATCTTCCAAATGAGCCACTTTTTGGAGGCTGTAATGCCTGCGAATACCAGTTGCTGGAAACTCCAGGAAGGGAGAAGAAGGCTCTTGTGCTCAGGACCTGGTCCTGCTTGGGGTTTCCCAAAGGCTAGTTGTCCACTATCAGAACACTGGACTAGATGGACCATGGGCCGGAGCCAGTAGCTGGGCTCTTCTGATGTTTTGTGGAACTTCCAGCTCCAGTGGCAGTCTATCTAGATTCCTATGTTCTTAGGGGCATTTAGTCACTGCTGGACTAGATGGGCCCCTGGCCTGATCCGGCAGGGTTTTTCTGATGTCCTTATCCTTGCGCAGGAAAAGAAATCCCTGCCCCACCCCCTGCAAATTAACCATTGATGAATGCAAATGCAAAACCGGCCTTTCAACACACTGACTTCACCTCCTCAAAACCGGAAAATTTTTTTTAGAAAAAAAAAATAAACCACACACACCCAATTGCTCGTGGCACCTTTTCTTTTGACAGCCTTAAAAAAGCATCGCTTGCATTCAAAGACACGCACGCACGCTGCATTGACTTGTGTTTATATAGGATTTTGAGCACAACTTTGCGGAGGGGATTCCCCCGCTCTGGAGCCCAGACTTCTACGTCTGTTTTCAAACATGTTTCCAAACATAGCCTTCTTTCTCCCTGCTTTCCCTTTTTTAAAACAAAAAAACAAAAACCAGCGATAATTTTAGAAGTGGGTGGTTTTTTTCCGCTGTACATAGTGTCCTTGGCCGCTGAGGGCAACTTTACCATTAATGATTCACAAACTCCCCCCCCCCTCTTTTCAAAGTTTCTTCTTTCTTTAAACAAAAACAAACCTCCTCTCCCTCTGTGCCTCTGTCCTGGCTCTCCAGTTGGTAGCTAGGAAACCCGGGCTTGGCTTGAACGCCTCATTCCATTGCTCCAGCAACGACCTAGCTAGCTGCAAGCTTCGAAAATCGCTAACTCCAGAGTAGCGGCTGGATCTTGCTGGGAACACGAGGCCAGGAAAAAAAGTGAAAACAGGTTGGAGACAGTGGCTCTGAGCCTTGATGAAAGGGGGCACCGCCTTGATTTTTTAAAATAAAAATAAAAAGTGATTTATGCCTATACAATCCTTCCTTCAGATGGAATGCATTTCTAAGTTAGGTCTGAGTTTCTTCCTGGCCTCCATGATCTGGCTCCCTCTGCCCTTCTGCATTCTTTGCATAGTCATCAAACAATGTTTTTCGAATTGAGGAAGAAAAGAAAAGAATGCGGGGAGGGAGCCAAGTCACTTGGTTTGCTGATCCCAGCCGAAGGGAGCCTGGAGCTCAGCGGGACAGAACACCTGCATGATCTCAGAAGGCTTCTTCAGGTAGCCCTGCGAATGTTGCCTGTCTGGGAAACTCTGGAGAACAGTGTACAGTGTACCTCTGGTTACGTACTTAATTCGTTCTGGAGGTCCGTTCTTAACCTGAAACTGTTCTTAACCTGAAGCACCACTTTAGCTAATGGGGCCTCCCGCTGCTGCTGCGCCGCCGCTGCACAATTTCTGTTCTCATCCTGAAGCAAAGTTCTTAACCCGAGGTACTATTTCTGGGTTAGCAGAGTCTGTAACCTGAAGCGTATGTAACCTGAAGCGTATGTAACCCGAGGTACCACTGTAATAATAATAATAATAATTTCCTATACCCTGCCCATCTGGCTGGGTTTCCCCAGCCACTCTGAGCGGCTCCCAACAGAATATTAAAAACATGACAAAACATCAAACATTAAAAAGTTCCCTAAAGAGGGCTGCCTTCAGATGCCTTCTAAAAGTCAGATAGTTGTTTATCCCCTTGACATCTGATGGGAGGGCGTTCCACAGGGCGGGTGCCACCACCGAGAAGGCCCTCTGTCCGGTTACCTGTAACCTCACTTCTCACAGTGAGGGAACCACCAGAAGCCCCTTGGAGCTGGACCTCAGTGTCCGGGCTGAACGAAGAAAAGAGCTAGAAGAATAGAGTCCCCTCTCACGGATGTAGCCAAACCTTTACCCCACAGAGAAGGATGCACCTTCCTGTCTCTCACCTGGGAGCATTCTAAGTATAAGGCAGCTTCCTGTCGGAAAGGAGGAACGAGTGTTTTGCTTTGCACAAAGCTCTCGCCTGAGGTGTACAATGACAGTGGACAGGCAGGTGATCTCCTTCCACCTGCTACCTGGGAGCTTATAATTCACTGGAGTGCGTAAGGATTAAACCGGTGACCTCCCTATGCAAAGCGGAGACCCCTCCACACCACTGAGCATCCCTTCTGAAGGCCAGTCTTGAAGGGCACAGATGTACCTCACCAGGGATGGACTCCCACAAACGGGGAACTACCGATAGGGCCAGGCGGGGGGCATTCCCAGCCCTAACGGCTCAGGACCGCAATACCTCAAGGACCGCCTCTTTCCAAATGAACCTACCCGGACCCTGAGATCATCTTCTGAGGCTCCTTCGTGTGCCTCCTCCTTGAGAGGTCCAGAGGGTGGCAACTCGAGAACGGGGCCTTCTCTGCAGTGGCTCCCTGCCTGTGGAATGCTCTCCCCAGGGAAGTTTGCCTGGCGCCTTCATTATACACCTTTAGGCAACAGGCAAAAACGTTCCTTTTTAACCAGGCCTTTGGTTGATCTGATTACACCCTTTTAAAATGTAGTGGTTTTTTTGTGGTGGTGGGGCTATTGGGTTGTAGTTTTTATTTTTCTTGTGTATTTTGTGGTTTTATATCTTGATTTTGTTCTGTGAACTGCCCTGAGACCCCCGGGTATAGGGCGGTATATAAATTCAATTAATAATAATAATAATATTAATAATAATAATACAGTGGACGCTCGGGTTGTGAATGTGATCCGTGCGGGATGCACGTTCGCAACCCGCAGCGTTCGCAACCCGCAGCTGTGCATCTGCGCACGTGCAGGTTGTTATTCAGTGCTTCTGCGCATGTGCAAAGCACGATTTAGTGCTTCTGCACATGTGCGACTGCTGAAACCTGGAAGTAACCTGTTCCGGTACTTCCGGGTTTCAGCGGTCCATAACCTGAAAAAACGCAACCTGAAGCATCTGTAACCCGAGGTATGACTGTATTAATAATAATAATAATAAATACCTGGAGATGCCAGTGGGACTTGGGACCTTCTACATGTCAAGCAGGTGCCCTACCATAGAGCCACATCCCCTTGGCAAAATCAGAGGGACAGAAAGTCTCATAAACAGCCGGGGACTCCTGCTAAAAAAAAGATCCCAGAGACCTAGAGGGGAGAGGAAGGAAATAATCATGCACTTCGCAAAATCCATAGCTAGGCTCTTTCCACTTAAGAACATCGGAATGACTCTGTGTTTTCCTGATGGATCAAAGGTCCCGGCCGGCCAGTCGCTGTGGCAGCTCTGCTCACCCCCCCTCTCTTCTCTCTTTGCAGACGAGGGGTCCAAAGTCCCCCGACATGAGTGACAAGAGGAACGAATCCTGCCACGCTCTGAAATGCATCCCAGGTATTCCGATTTTGCTTTCTTTCTCAACCCTCTTTCGTGCGATCCCAAACGTTAAAGCACAATGCCTTGTTTAAATGCGACTCGGTGTTGTGTAAAACACCAGGTCCTGAGGAACGGGTTGGTATTGGGAGATGGGGGAATGGAGGACGACGGTGTGCTATACAGTGATACCTCGGGTTAAGTACTTAATTCGTTCCGGAGGTCCGTACTTAACCTGAAGTTGTTCTTAACCTGAAGCACCACTTTACCTAATGGGGCCTCCTGCTGGCACTGCGCCGCCGGAGCACGATTTCTGTTCTTATCCTGAAGCAAAGTTCTTAACCTGAAGCACTAGTTCTGGGTTAGCGGAGTCAGTAACCTGAAGCGTATGTAACCTGAAGCATATGTAACCTGAGGTACCACTGTATAGAGATGTGGTCACCTCAGGCCCTCCGAAAAAGGATTATTGCAGAGCTGGGAAAAGGTTCAGAAAACCAACGAAAGGGATCGGGGGGGGGGAGCGACTCCCCTGCGAGGAAACGGCGCTGTTTTGGGGACTTTAGAGAAAGAGGAGAGGAAAGTTTGGACGACAAGAGGCGTCCAAAACGATATGTGGCTTGGAGAGAGCAAACAGAGAATTTTTTTCCTTGCTGGACATCCAAGGAATGCTGGAAGATTCAGGACAGATTAAAGGACGCCGTTCTTCACACAGCAGAGAGTTGAACTATGGAACTCACTGCCTCGTTGTTGTTGTTGTTGAGTCATTTAGTCGTGTCTGACTCTTCGTGACCCCCTGGACCAGAGCACGCCAGGCCCTCCTGTCTTCCACTGCCTCCCGTGGTTTGGTCAAACTCATGCTGGTAGCTTCGAGAACACTATCCAACCATCTCGTCCTCTGTCGTCCCCTTCTCCATGTGCCCTCCATCTTTCCCAACATCAGGGTCTTTTCCAGGGAGTCTTCTCTTCTCATGAGGTGGCCAAAGTCTTGGAGCCCCAGCTTCAGGATCTGTCCTTCCAGTGAGCACTCAGGGCTGATTTCCTTCAGAATGGAGAGGTTTGATCTTCTTGCAGTCCATGGGACTCTCAAGAGTCTCCTCCAGCACCATAAGGGTTAGAAATATTCATTGAGAGGACTATTGGTGGTTAGTAACCCTGATGGCTGCGCTGTGCCTCCGCAGCTGTGCTTTTGTGTTGGAATCCTGAACTGCAAGTTCCCCTCAGAAGAAGAAGAGGAGTTTGGATTTGATATCCCGCTTTATCACTACCCGAAGGAGTCTCAAAGCGGCTAACATTCTCCTTTTCCCTTCCTCCCCCACAACAAACACTCTGTGAGGTGAGTGAGGCTAAGAAACTTCAGAGAAGTGTGACTGGCCCAAGGTCACCCAGCAGCTGCATTTGGAGGAGCAGGGAATCGAACCCGGTTCACCAGATTACGAGTCTACCGCTCTTAACCACTACACCACACTGGCTCCTCAGAGGCATCTGGTTGGCCACTGTGGAAACAGGATTCTGGCCTGATCCAACAGGCTCTCCTTAGTATTTTTAATTATTTTCCTTAAAGAAACACGCACCGTTCTTTGGCTACGATCCCATGGAGAGGTAGAACTTTCACCATGGGTGTGTATGGAGGAATTTGCCCTGTGTTTGTACGTTGCAGCGAGGGTTAGCCCCCACCCACCCCGCTTTGGTGTTTTTTTTTCTGAGAAAGAGAAATATGCTTTGTTGGGTCTTTTATTTGAATACAAGCTTGGGGCGACCCCCCATGAGGGAGCCACAAAGGGTTAAGGCAGGGGTCAGCAACCTTTTTCAGCCGTGGGCCGGTCCACCGTCCCTCAGACCTTGTCGGGGTCGGACTATACTTTGGAGAAATAAAAAGAACGAATTCCTATGCCCCACAAATAACCCAGAGATGCATTTTAAATAAAAGCAGGCATTCTATTCATGTAAAAACACGCAGATTCCCGGACCATCCGCGGGTCGGATTGGGAAGGTGATTGGGCCTTAGGTTGCCTACCTGTGTTCTTAAACAGGGGTCAGCAAACTTTTCCAGCAGGGGGCCGGTCCACTGTCCCTCAGACTGTGTAAAGATGAGAGGCAGTGTGGTGTAATGGTTAGAGTGTCGAACCAGGAGCTGGGAGAGGCCAAGTTTCAAATCCTCACCCAGTCATGAAGCATGCTGGGCGTGACTTCAGGCCAGACTCTGCTTCTCTCAACCTAACCTACCTCTCAGGGTTGCTGTGAGGATTAAATGAGGTTGGGGTGGGGGCAGAACCATCCTGAGCTCCTTGGAAGAAAAGGTGGGGTTTAAACGGAACAGATAAATAATAATGAATAGACAATCCAGCCGAGTATTTGCATTGTGCTAAAATGAGCTTTCAGCTGTGTACAAAAATAGCAATACTCGAGAGCGTCAGTAAAACACGTTTCAAGCCATAGTCTATTTCGAGTTCTGACAGGCGATGGCTGATTCCTTTGTGGGGTGGGCAGTGGGATACAATGTTTTATATTATTGGATTCCAGTTTGTATGTTTAAGTGCACTTTGTCTTTCTGGGAAGAGCTGGGAGCTGTTGCGATTCTTCCAGCTCGATGAGTCTTCCTTCATAAGGGGGTGGGAAGTGCTTTCCAAATGCGTTTCGGTATGCAAAACAAGCTGAAACTTGTATTAGCACAAGACGGGAGCTATTTGGATATCATTTGTGTGTGTTTTTAAAAAGAGTGGACATGTTAGAAGATGCCTCGCAGGCCTGGAGAGAGTTTGTTATTATCGCTTCTGATGCTGAGGAGCGAATTACCGTATTTTTTGCTCTATAAGACTCACTTTTTCCCTCCTAAAAAGTAAGGGGAAATGTGTGTGTGTCTGATGGAGCGAATGCAGGCTGCGCAGCTATCCCAGAAGCCAGAACAGCAAGAGGGATTGCTGCTTTCACATCCCTCTTGCTGTTCTGGCTTCTGAGATTCAGAATATTTTTTTCTTGTTTTCCTCCTCCAAAAACTAGGTGTGTCTTGTGGTCTCGTGCGTCTTATAGAGCGAAAAATACGGCAGGTAGAAAGTGGGCCACTGAACTTGCCATACGGCAGTGATAAAAGCCCTAGAGCAGGCATAGGCAAACTCCGGCCCCCCAGATGTTTTGAGACTACAACTCCCATCATCCCTGACCACTGGTCCTGTTAGCTAGGGATGATGGGAATTGTAGTTCCAAAACACCTGGAGGGCTGGAGTTTGTCTCTGCCTGCCCTAGAGTGTGTATCTGAAGAAGCGTGCATGCACACGAAAGCTCATACCAGTAACAAACTTAGTTGGTTTTTAAGGTGCTACTGGAAGGGATTTTTAAATTTTGTTCCAAAAGTCCTAGAGGTTAGGCGAGGAGACACCCAGGGAAAAAAGGTGGGCAGGCACCTCTTTGCAGTAGAAGAGATTTTCTTTCACTCTTTCTTTGCAGAGGCAGGCTTGCTTATGGCACCCAGGACTTATTTATCTATCACATTTATATTCCACTTTTTCCTCCAAGGAGCTCAGGGTGGCAGACATGGCTCTCCCCACTATTATTTAATCCCCACAACAGCCCTATGAGGTAGGTTAGGCTGAGGGGCCTAGTTGGGGGGATTCGAACCCTGGTCTCTCCAAGGTCCGAGTTGAACACATTAACCCATGGGTAGGCAAACTAAGGCCCAGGGGCCAGATCCGGCCCAATCGCCTTCTAAATCTGGCCCGCATACGGTCCGAGAATCAGCGTTTTTTTACATGAGTAGAATGTGTCCTTTTATTTAAAATGCATCTCTGGGTTATTTGTGGGGCATAGGAATTCGTTCATCCCCCCCCCCAAAAGAATATAGTCCGCCCCCCCAAGGTCTGAGGGACAGTGGACCGGCCCCCTGCTAAAAATGTTTGCTGACCCCTGCATTAACCACTAGGAATGGATGTCTGCAGGTGTGTTTGTGGAAGGGGGAACCAGAATGTCAGTATTTTGTGGGAGGAACTCGAGCGTGTTCTGGAAAGGCAGATTTGCACTGTTGAAGTCACACAAAAACATTTACCGTATTTTTTGCTCTATAAGACTCACTTTTTCCCTCCTAAAAAGTAAGGGTAAATGTGTGTGCGTCTGATGGAGCGAATGCAGGCTGCGCAGCTATCCCAGAAGCCAGAACAGCAAGAGGGATCGCTGCTTTCACTGCGCAGCGATCCCTCTTGCTGTTCTGGCTTCTGAGATTCAGAATATTTTTTTTCTTGTTTTCCTCCTCCAAAAACTAGGTGCGTCTTATGGTCTGGTGCGTCTTATAGAGCGAAAAATACGGTAACTAGCGGGGAAGGAGAAACTTGTTTTGTCTTCCCCGCGTACCTTTTTAGAGGCGAGAGAGGGAGGGAAGTGTTTGCGTGGCAAATGATTAACCAGAGTGGGACCTTAGTAGAAAAAGGGCAGCCAGCCTGGCGTCTCTGAAGCAGTCGGAGCTTTGCTCTCAGTGAGGGAGTCCTGCCTGCCCTTGTTGCTTGGACACCTGGGGGTTGTAGCAGCCCTAGAGGGCAAACACTGGGTGCTTTCCTGCTTGGCAAAGGCTTTGCATGGCGACTGGGAACCTGGCCAGGGGAACAGGAAGGAGGAGCAAGGCGAGAGGGGGAACTTCCAGAACAGGATGCACATGGGCCACTTTGTCACCCCCAGAAATCCCCCACGCGTGCTCCCAGCACCTCCTGATTTTTTTAAAAAATAAAGAATGTGAATCTTTATTTTTGCCTTGCTGTTTAGTTGGATGGATTGCCTACTTTTGGGGAAATGCTGCCTGCTCGGGTTTTTTTCCCTCGGTCTACGTTTTATTTGGAGTGTGTGGACATATGAACGGTCTTCTGGATCATGATGCCTGTGAGGAACCTGCAAGATGGATCAGAGCCCAAGGTCACTTTGCTCTCCTGAGGTTTCCGGCAACTTGGATTCAGAAGCACCGTGGAGGCAGAGCAAAGCCACTGCGGCTAGTAGCTGAGTTAGAAAGGACCACGAGCATCTGGTCCATGAATTTGGCCAGTCCTTTTTTAAAGCCATCACTTTTGGTGGCCAACAGGGCAGGGCGTTCCATAGCTTAGCTATGCATTCATGTATAAGTAGGAATTTTGCCTTTTGGGGGGGACATTCTGAGCACCACCAGTTTTTCTTCTGTGAAATGGGTACAGCGGACGCTTGGGTTGCGAACGTGATCCGTGCGGGATGCACGTTCGCAACCTGCAGCGGTGAAACTGTGCTGGTTGCGATTCGGCGCTTCTGCGCATGCGCAACCACCGAAACCCGGAAGTAACCCATTACAGTACTTCTGGGTTTTGGCGCTCCGTAACCCGGAAAATGCAACCTGAAGCATCTGTAACCCGAGGTATGACTGTATTTCTGGATGCCAGTGACAACTCTCTTAGATTTCCATATGTGCCCCCCCCCCAGACCAAAAGGGCAGGGCTTTCCATAGCTTAACTATGCATTCATGTATAAGTAGGAATTTTGCCTTTTGGGAGCAACATTCTGAGCACCACCAGTTTTTCTTCTGTGAAATGGGTACAGTGGTACCTCAGGTTAAGTACTTAATTCGTTCCGGAGGTCCGTTCTTAACCTGAAACTGTTCTTAACCTGAAGCACCACTTTAGCTAATGGGGCCTCCTGCTGCTGCCGTACCGCCGGAGCATGATTTCTGTTCTTATCCTGAAGCAAAGTTCTTAACCCGAGGTAATATTTCTGGGTTAGCGGAGTCTGTAACCTGAAGCGTATGTAACCCGAAGCGTATGTAACCCGAGGTACCACTGTATTTCCAGATGCCAGTGACAACTCTCTTAGATTTCCAGGTATGCCCCTTCCCCCAGACCAAAAGGTCTAGGTACACACACACACACACACAAGCTTCTCTCTCCTTTTCTCTTCTCCAGGAGTTTCTGAAAGCTTCCTGTGCAAGCTCCCATTGCAAGGTGTTTCTCCCAAGTCCCCTTCACTGTGAATTAATTCTTTCCTGCAGGCGAATATATCCGAGAAGAGGCAGCTCACGTGCGGAAAAGCATCCCTTCCCAAGATGGAGAAGCGACCTACATCCCAGGCACCCTCTACTGCACCAACCTGAGAGTGGCTTTCTTACCAGACCCGTCTCCAAACACAGAGGTGAGTTACCCACTGGGTTTCTGCAACGCTGCCTTGTCCAGAAAAGAAGTGGGTACCTTCTTCAAAGCAAGTCAGACCATTGGTCTTATCATAGAACCCTTCCCTTAAAAACAAGGCAAGATTCCAGACCTTAAGATTTGGGGGGGGGGGAAGGGAACTTAATTTAAATTGGAACGGCCTTATACTGACAATCAGTGCATCTAGTTCAGGACTGCCTGCACTGGCTGGCAGCAGCTGCCCCTGGTTTCAGGGAGGAGATTTCCCTAGACCTTCATGGAAATGCCACTAAGTTTAAAATAATGCTAAGATTCTAGTCCTCATGGTTTGGAATCAAGGGCTGACTTAGGAAGCTGCCTTCTACCGAATCAGACTCCTCTGGTCCATCAAGCTCAGTACCGTATACACTGACTGGCAGCAGCGGCTTTCCAGGATTTTACCTAGAGATGCCTTCAGGGACTGAACCTTCTGCTTGCAAGGCAGGTGTCCCACCACCAGGCTACAGTTCTTTCCCTTAAACAGTTTCCACTGATTCTGGAATAAAATGCCATAGCCTGAGTCAGACGACTGGCCCATCTAGCTAGATATTGCCCACACTGGCTGGCAGCAGCTCTCTGGGGTTTGAGGCAGGGTTTCTCCCCTAGCCCAATCTGGAGATGCCAGGGATGACTGAACCTGGGACCTTCTGCTTGCAAGGGGACTGCTCCCTTCCCAAAATGAAGGCGTGCTAGGTGCCGTAAACCCAGCTGAGAGCAATTCCTCTCTTTTTCTCCAGGATTGTTCCTGCCAAACTTTCATGCACAGCGACTACGACGTTGCCCTCCCTTGCATTGGGAGACTGCTCGCCGGTAAGGTTAAGAGGGCTGCCTTAAATCATCTCCTTCCGCCCTTGATTGTAAGCCCCTCGGGGCAGAGACCTCTGATCTTGCTGTAACCCCTGTAACTCCTTTCCCCTGTAGTTAACACATGGCTTCTGCTTTTCTTATTCTCCAAGTCAACAGCTTCACCAAGGCTAAAGTGCTCACCAGTACCTCGACCCTGAAATTCATCCCAGAGGAGCTGATCATCTGCTGCCGGGATTTCCGGGTGCTGCGGTTCCGGTTCCACGACAGCGGCTTGGAGCCTCAGGCCTTCCGGGTGAGTCGCGGGAAGGGGGGAGACACAGAATTAAGCAGTGGCATAATCCATCAACTTGATCTGCCATTCTTCTCTGCTAGGGACTTTATCTTCTTTCCATCTCTGGGCCAGTAACATCCACGCAGCTGTGGTCGCATACATAAATAGTCTTTTCTGCTCCCTTGGGATTTCAGCATCTAGAATTTCTAAAAGGAAGGCTTCAGGGGTTTTTTTTTTAACAAAAGGTTATTTTAAACATTCCCCCCCCCCCAACTCATTATATATCATTTCCCAGAATTCTTTTACTACTTTACATTTCCACCACATATGATAAAAGGTGCCTAATATGTGCGTATATATATGTGTGCATTTGTGTTTTAAAGAAACTAGCCAACTGTACAAAGGTAAAATATGCAGAAATGGCTCTGGCTGCTTTTGCCTCTGACCCTGCCCACCTCTGGAATACGGCCCCTAGAAGCTTGCCCAGAAGGGAGTATGGCCCTCTGCTGGGCTTAACCCTCTCCCTGCCATGCTGTTCCAGGTCTCGATGGCTATCGCTCAAGCTCACGAGAGCAGCACCAGGGATGGCTCCTACGAAGATGCCGCCCTGAAGAACTTGGGTGAGTCCAGCTGGCCGAGGGGGAGGGAGACGCTGGCTGCCTTGAGGGTCAATCGATCCTTATGCCTCTTTTGCCACTGCAGGGACCGGCCGGCTGAATCAGGAGGAGGAGGTGCTGGAGGAGGAAGAGGAGAAGAAGGAGGACGGGTCCCCAACCCTCTTGTTCCAGACCCTCCGGGACTGGGAGAAGGAGCTGCAGAGAATCGGGGCCGCGGGTTGGCGCGTCAGCCCTGTCAATGAGCGCTTTGACATGTCCACCAGGTGTAATATATGGCCTATGGGGTTGGTTTTCTGGGAAGAAGGAGGTGGTGGGGAGGGACCCTAAATTGTACTGAGCCAGGTGTCACAAGGGGGTGTGTGACTCTGTTTTAAGGCAGCTCCCTGTGTCCCAACTTGAATTGGTGCTTTCTTCTGAGGACTAGGATTCTAGAACGGTAGGATGTGCAGTCACCGTAGCAGTCAAGTACAACGTTTCCTGTTTGCCCAGAGTGGACACACAGGGGGATGTTACTCCAGCCAGGAGGACTTCCTGTCACACCTGTCTGGAACATCCTCCCCCTGCGTGTGACCAGGGAGACCCCATAAAAGGGCTGGTCATGCAACCACCTTCCATTCTCCATGCTGCTCCTTCTCTTGTCCTTCCTTCTCTTGGTGTTATTTTGCTGTTTGCCGGCTCTCAGCCAGCAGCACATGGGCTCAGTCCCCCTAAGGGATGAACCCACACTCTCTTCTGTAACTACAAGCTAAAGCCTGCCTTCAGGGACCCTACTGTGAACTGAATGCGAGTAAACTTCTTATTACTTTTAATAGAAGACTGTTGTCTCTTTATTCTTTTAAGAGGGAATTGAAGGGGTCCCTGTTCCTGCCAACCTAGCAGTTCGAAAGCACGTCAAAGTGCAAGTAGATAAATAGGTACCGCTCCAGCGGGAAGGTAAACGGTGTTTCCGTGTGCTGCTCTGGTTCGCCAGAAGCAGCTTAGTCATGCTGGCCACATGACCCGGAAGCTGTACACCGGCTCCCTCGGCCAGTAAAGCGAGATGAGCACCGCAACCCCAGAGTCGGTCACGACTGGACCTAATGGTCAGGGATCCCTTTACCTTTTTAAAGGGGAATTTACCAGGAACAAATCCAATCTGGACAAGCCAGACTGGATTGCTTAACTCAAGAGATTCAGACGAATCTACCAACTAGCCTTCTGCAACGTACAGGGGAATGTACTCTGCTACTAGCTCGCCAGCGTGAGTGAGGAAGGATAATATTTAATCAATATATCCTCCCCTACTACCCACAACATTCCCACAAGAACTAGAATCTTAATTTATGCATAGGACAAGGGTCACAGCTCCATGATAGAACATGTGTTTCGCATGCAGAATGGGCCCAACGACATTTCCAGGTAGGGCTGGGAATGATTGCTGCTCATCAGCCTAGATAAGACTGAAAGAGAGGAACTCAAATGGTTTGGCTCTGTAAAAGGCTGCCTCCTCTTTCCCCTCCTCTGTCTGCTTCCTCTCTCTGCAGCCTCCCCCAATACTTGTGGGTGCCCAGTTGGTTTCTGGACAATGAGCTGAAGAGGGCCTTTGTCCATTTCAATGAAAGACGCATCCCGGTGAGCAACCTGAGCATGCTTGGCTTGGGTGGGTCCGGTGGGTGTGTCTTAAATGGCGTACATTGACTCCCAACCCCCAAATCCAGCAAATCCATCACAAGGAATCCCATTCAGCTCCTTCCCTCTTCCGTCCCTCAGAGGCTGTGCTGGCATCACCCGGCAGGCAGCGATCTCCTTCGAGCGGCCAGTTTCCACCCTGATTCAGACCCAGAGAAGGAAGACATGAGGTACGTTGCTGGGGGGGGGGGCGATTGAAGAGAAGGGGGGCTGTGGGAAAGACGGGGGTCCCTGCCCTCAAAAGCGCTTCCAGTCTTGGGGAATTTCCAGGCCACTTTTATTTTTTTATTACACCTGTCCACACTCTTGCCATTTTAAACACCACCTCGGAAGGTTTCTGACTCCACCTCTCAGAGATTATTTAGCTGTCATCTCTGTACTGCAGCAAAGGGGTTGTGCTAGATGGCCTCTGAGGGACCTTTTCAATTCTACAAATCTATGATTCTATATCAGGGGTAGGCAACCTAAGGCTTAGGGGCTGGATGCAGCCCAATCGCCTTCTCAATCCGGCCCACGGATGATCCGGGAATCAGCATGTTTTTACATGAGTAGAATGTGTGCTTTTATTTAAAAAGCATCTCTGGGTTATTTGTGGGGCCTGCCTGGTGTTTTTACATGAGTAGAATGTGTGCTTTTGATTAAAATGCATCTCTGGGGTATTTGTGGGGATAGGAATTTGTTCATTCCCCCCCCCCAAAAAATAGTCCAGCCCCCCACATGGTCTGAGGGACAGTGGACCGGCCCCCTGCTGAAAAAGGGGCCCCCTGTTCTATATACAAGGGGAAAGGGACAGGGAGGGAAGAGGAAAAACTCAAGCTCAGCCCTCAGTTCTTAGAAAGTACAGCGGTACTTCGGGTTACATACGCTTCAGGTTACAGACTCCGCTAACCCAGAAATAGTACCTCGGGTTAAGAACTTTGCTTCAGGATGAGAACAGAAATCGTGCGGCAGCAGTGGGAGGCCCCATTAGCTAAAGTGGTACCTCAGGTTAAGAACAGTTTCAGGTTAAGAACGGACCTCCAGAACGAATTAAGTACTTAACCCAAGGTACCACTGTAGTTCCTTGATAGAAAGGTGGCAGTCGAGGGAGAGGAGGCCTCTGGCGTTACTGGTTTGCCACAGCAGAGTGACATAGGGAGCTCAGCTTCCCATCTCTCACATCGTAGAGGTGGGAGTTGGAAGGGACACCAAGGGCCATCTAGTCCAACCCCCTGCAATGCCGGAACCACAGCTAACCCTAAGCCACTAAAGCATATATTTCTTAAAGGTGAGATTCAAACTTGTATCAGTTTGCTGGAAGCTCAGCTTTGCCTCCCTCATCTCTCTCTTTCTGCAGATCAGTGGAAACTCTGATGCTCGCTGGCCACCCCCAATGTGTGATCGTCGAGGTGACGGCAGACCTCCCCAGCCCCCCGGAGATCCAGCAGTCCTACTCCAAGCTCTGGAACCTGAGCCTCTGCATGGCTGGTGAGAAGAGGAAATCGCAGTGGGGCCGCCCTCTCGACAGGGGGCGCTCTTGAGTTAGGGAAAGGGCTGGAGCTCTGGAAGAGCACACAGCTTTGAACATAGGAAGATACCTGCAGCTAAATCAGGCCAATAACCCACCTTGCCCAGCAGCCTGTGCCCACAGCGACCAGCCAGGTGCCCCAGAAGGAAACCCACAAGCAGGACCCCCAAGTACAAGAGCAACTCCCCCCTTCTTCAGAAGCATTGCTGCTGTTTCCGAGCACAATTCAAAGTGTTGGTGCTGACCTTTAAAGCCCTAAACGGCCTCGGCCCAGTATACCTGAAGGAGCATCTCCACCCCCATTGTTCAGCCCGGACACCGAGGTCCAGCTCCAAGGGCCTTCTGGCAGTTCCCTCCCTGTGAGAAGCCAAGTTACAGGGAACCAGGCAGAGGGCCTTCTTGGTGGTGGCGCCCGCCCTGTGGAACGCCCTCCCTTCAGATGTCAAAGAGAAAAATAACTACCAAACTTTTAGAAGACATCTAAAGGCAGCCCTGTTTGGGGAAGCTTTTAATGTTTGACAGACTATTGTATTTTAGTGTTTTGTTGGAAGCCGCCCAGAGTGACTGGGGAAACCCAGGCAGATGGCTGACTGACCGAACCCAAAGGGTGCTCATCAATGGTTCCTCTTCATCCTGGAGAAGAGTGACTAGTGGGGTGCCACAGGGTTCTGTCTTGGGCCCGGTCTTATTCAACATCTTTATCAATCACTTGGATGATGGACTCAAGGGCATCCTGATCAAATTTGCAGATGACACCAAACTGGGGGGGTGGCTAACACCCCAGAGGACAGGATCACACTTCAAAACGACCTTGACAGATTAGAGAACTGGGCAAAAACAAACAAGATGAATTTTAACAGGGAGAAATGTAAAGTATTGCACTTGGGCAAAAAAAATGAGAGGCACAAATACAAGAACCGACACACCAGGCTTGAGAGCAGAACAACAGAAAAGGATCTAGGAGACTTGGATGACCACAAACATCACATGAGCCAACAGTGTGACGCGGCAGCTAAAAAGCCAATGCAATTCTGGGCTGCATCAATAGGAGTATAGCATCTAGATCAAGGGAAGTAATAGTGCCACTGTATTCTGCTCTGGTCAGACCTCACCTGGAGTACTGTGTCCAGTTCTGGGCACCACAGTTCAAGAAGGACACTGACAAACTGGAACGTGTCCAGAAGAGGGCAACCAAAATGGTCAAAGGCCTGGAAACGATGCCTTATGAGGAACGGCTAAGGGAGCTGGGCATGTTTAGCCTGGAGAAGAGGAGGTTAAGGGGTGATATGATAGCCATGTTCAAATATATAAAAGGATGTCACATAGAGGAGGGAGAAAGGTTGTTTTCTGCTGCTCCAGAGAAGCGGACACGGAGCAATGGATCCAAACTACAAGAAAGAAGATTCCACCTAAACATTAGGAAGAACTTCCTGACAGTAAGAGCTGTTCGACAGTGGAATTTGCTGCCAAGGAGTGTGGTGGAGTCTCCTTCTTTGGAGGTCTTTAAGCAGAGGCTTGACAACCATATGTCAGGAGTGCTCTGATGGTGTTTCCTGCTTGGCAGGGGGTTGGACTCGATGGCCCTTGTGGTCTCTTCCAACTCTATGATTCTATGAGATGGGCGGGGTATAAATAATAAATTATTATTATTATTATTATTATTATTATTATTATTATTATATGGCCATGGAGACAGAGCAAGCCACTGTGGCTGGTTAGTCCAATCCTCTTTTAACACCACCCAAGTTTCAAAGCCAGCACTGGCTCCTGTGGCAGTGAGTTCCGTAGTTTGTCCACGTGGTGCACAAAGAGGTACTTTCTTTTACCTAATAGTAATAATAATAATTTATACCCCGCCCATCTGGCTGGGTTTCTCCAGCCACTCTGGGAGGCTTCCAACAGAATGTTAAAATACAACAACCTATTAAACATTAAAAGCTTCGCTAAAGAGGGCTGCCTTCAGATGTCTTCTAAAAGTCTGGTAGTTGTTTTTCTCTCCACAGGGCTTTCCACAGGGCGGGTGCCACTACCGAGAAGGCCCTCTGCCTGGTTCCCTGTAACTTATCTTCCAAGAAAGACTGGAAGGGCCCAGGAGAGGCAGATTTAGGGGAACACAACCCGTGCGCATGAGGCCTCGGGGGGTGCTGCAGGGGATGCTACAACTATTAGCGTGGAGCGTGAGAGGTGGTGGTGAGGCGCCCATTGTTTTTTGCACTGCACAGGGTACTGCAGAAATTTGACCTGGGGGGTCCGATGCCTGAAGGCATTTCCAAGCAGGGCCAGAAAGGACTCCTAGTCTGGAAGCCCAGAGAGCCTCTGCCAGTCAGTTGTTGACAAGACTGAGCTAGATGCAGCACTCAGCAGAAGGGTTACGTTCTCCGAGCTGCACAGGTGGCAGAAAACCTGTCCAAGACATTGATGTGAGCTTCAAACCTGGGTCAAACCACACAGAGCGTACCAATTGAGCCAAGGAGAGGGGATCATAAGGAGTCTCTCCCCCTGCCGACCACCAGTTTTAGATAGTACAGTGGTAAAAAAAGGGTAAAGGGACCCCTGACCATTAGGTCCAGTCGTGACTGGCTCTGGGGTTGCGGCGCTCATCTCACTTTACTGGCCGAGGGAGCCGGCGTACAGCTTCTGGGTAATGTGACCAGCAGGACTAAGCCGCTTCTGGCGAACCAGAGCAGCACACGGAAATGCCATTTACCTTCCCACCGGAGTGGTACCTATTTATCTACTTGCACTGGCATGCTTTCGAACTGCTAGGTTGGCAGGAGCAGGGACCGAGCAATGGGGGCTCACCCCGTCGCGGGGATTCGAACCGCCAACCTTCTGATCGGCAAGTCCTAGGCTCTGTGGTTTAACCCACAGCGCCACCCGCGTCCCACAGCGCCACCCGAGTACAGTGGTACCTCGGGTTAAGTACTTAATTTGTTCTGGAGGTCCGTTCTTAACCTGAAGCACCACTTTAGCTAATGGGGCCTCCTGCTGCTGCCGCTGCACCACCGGAGCACGATTTCTGTTCTCATCCAGAAGCAAAGTCCTTAACCTGAAGCACTATTTCTGGGTTAGCAGAGTCTGTAACCTGAAGCCTATGTAACCTGAAGTGTATGTAACCCGAGGTACCACTGTACCTGGAGAGGTGTTGAGATGAACACCTCTGTACAAACCAGCCCTTATTCTCTCCCAGAGAGATTCTACTGGGCTACGCGTTAATCCCTCTGTGGACATTCCTGATGCGTCTCCAGAATGCTTCATGACTCACAGGGTGGAGAGGAATCTTCCTGCCCTCCAGAGGCCACAAATGAGGAATCGGAATAAAAATAACACAAGATATTTATTTTTTATTTTTGTGCAGCTGCCTCGAAACTGGCGGCTGACTGTTCCAGACCTCCGCTGGGGATCCTATTTTTGGAGGAACGGCGCAGCTGGTTTCCGAAGGATTTTGAAGCCTGGCGCTCTATTCTTAGCCCTTCGGATTAGGTTGCCCAAAAGACAAAATAATAATTAAAAAGGCGGAATTCGCTCACACGAGAGGAAGGGGTGGCCATCGACCTGGGTAGTTTTAAAGAGGATAAGGCAAATTCAGTGGTTGCTAGCTGTGATGGCTACGTCCTGCCCCCATTGTTGGAGGCAGTACAGTCATACCTTGGTTGACGAACGCCTTAGCAGTCGAACGTTTTGGCTCCCGACCGCCGCAAACCTGGAAGTGAGTGTTCCAGTTTGAGAACTTTCTTTGGGAAGCTGAACATCTGGCAGGGCTGCAAAGAGAACAACAACTACCAGACTTCTAGAAGACATCTTAAGGCAGCCCTGTTTAGGGAAGCTTTTAATGTTTGATGCATAACTGTATTTTAATATTTTGTTGGAAGCCGTCCAGAGTGGCTGGGGAAGCCCAGCCAGATGGGCAGGATATAAATAATAAATTATTATTATTATTATTATTATTATTATTATTATTATTCCACAGCTTCCAATTGGCTGCAGGAAGCTGCACCTTGGAAGTTGAACGGACTTCTGGAATGGATTCTGTTTGGCTTCCTAGGTACGACTGTAAATGCCTCTGAATTTTACTGGCAGTCACTGGTGGGGGGTTCGCTGTAGCTCTCAGGTCCTGCTTGGTCTTACTGCTGGAGAGGAGAACAGCTCTTGCGTTCAGTGCCTGCTTGAATGTTTCCCTTTAGGGCACTTGGTTGGCCACTGTGAGAACACGGTGCTGGGCTTGACATGTCCCCTTTGGCCTCATCCGGCAGCCAAGCTCTTCTGGTGATTCTAAGGCACACTGATAAAAGTCTGTGTTCTGTTTTTGCACAACACGGAGCCCTTTCCTGTGTGCTCTTGATTCCCCTTCTAGATTCCTTCGTCTCGTCCTCCGATGAGAAGTGGCTCTCAAGCCTCGAAGGGACACGGTGGCTGGATCACGTGAGGTGAGCTGCGTCTCTTGCCACCCCCTCAGCCGGTCCCTCTGGCTACAGTGAGGACAGGCTCCCATCTCTGTCTCCCCTTCTCTCTGTCTGAAGAGGCTCGGACGAATTTGTAGTGGTGGAAGGCGACTGAAGGCTGCTCGCCGTGATGGCCACGCTCCTCAGGTTGGAGTCAGAAATGCTTTTCTGAATGCTGGCTGCTGGGCACCGCAGGATGGAGAATCACTGTTGTATTTGGGTCCTGTTTGTGGGCTTATCATTGGGGCATCTGGTTGGCCCCTGGGGGAACAGGAGGGTGAACAAGATGGGCCCCCTTTGGCCTGATCCTGCAGGCTCTTCTTGTGTCCTTTATTGCAGCAGGCTTCCTCCTTCTTTCTAGGGTGTGCTTGAAGAAGGCCAGTGAAGTGGCTGTGCTGCTGGCTGAGAGAAGCCGCTCTGTCCTCCTCCAAGGTAAAGAGAGGGTTTCTTTCCTCTGTGTTTCTTCTGCAGAGGGGATCCACTGCAGGATGTACAGTGTCCCCAATGGGACATTCTTCCAATGACAGTGAGATGGACCAACTCTGGTCTGCCCGCCCCCAGCCTCGGTGACTCCTGGTCACCTTGGAGTCTCCATCACCCTGAAGCTATCCTTTCTCACCCTCCATTCATTCCCCCCTCCCAGAATCGGATGACAGGGACTTGAATTGCTTGCTGGCCTCCTTGGTGCAAGTCATTTCAGACCCACACGCCAGAACCATCTCCGGCTTCCAGAGCCTGGTCCAGAAAGAGTGGGTGGCGACCGGGCACCCGTTCCTGCAGCGCCTGAACCTCCTCCAGAAAAATGACCGGGATGAGGTGAGTTGGACCCCTGAAAATGGGATGACCCCTGCATTTAACGGTGATTCTGGCACTGCAATGGGGGTGGTGGAATTGTTGACCCTGGGGGTTCCTTCCAACCCTACAATTTATGATTGAGGGCTATCAGAAGCTCTTTCGTACTGAGTCAGAGCACCGGTCCATCTAGTTCAGTATTGTCTACACTGAGGGCCATCGAATCTCCAGGATTTCAGACCAGGGAGTCTCTCTCCAGTCCTATCCTGAGATGCCATTGGGGAATGAACCTCAACAAACCTAAAAGCAGCTTACCAAAAACATTGTTGTTTAGTCATTTAGTCGTGTCCGACTCTTCGTGACCCCCTGGACCAGAGCACGCCAGGCACTCCTGTCTTCCACTGCCTCCCACAGTTTGGTCAAACTCATGTTAGTAGCTTCGAGAACACTGTCCAACAATCTCGTCCTCTGTCGTCCCCTTCTCCTTGTGCCCTCCATCTTTCCCAACATCAGGGTCTTTTCCAGGGAGTCTTCTCTTCTCATGAGGTGGCCAAAGTCTTGGAGTCTCAGCTTCAGGATTTGTCCTTCCAGTGAGCACTCAGGGCTGATTTCCTTCAGAATGGATAGGTTTGATCTTCTTGCAGTCCATGGGACTCTCAAGAGTCTCCTCCAGCACCAAAAACATAAAACAATAATAGTATCAGTAAGATATGTTGTTGGCATCTGTTTGTCCAGTGAGACGATGGAGTGCATCTCCAGGGATGAAGTCTAACTGCTGTGTTAGCAGCGCCAGTGACCTCCCTGGGGTATAAACATGGGCAATGTGCCTGGTGGTGCCCAGACAAGACCCCCCCCCTCAGGCTCGCTGATGTGGTCCCAAGGTAATCAGAGCAAGATGTTTGGCACCAGCTGGGCTGCAGGACATGCCAGAAGGAGGTGTACGAGGTGCCATCCAACCATCCTAGGGACTGGATTTGTGTAGGGTTTACTCCTTAGCATTTTCTTCTCCTGAAGATATCCCAAAAGGCAGCAGAGGTTTAGGATCAGAGTTTTGCTTCTCCTGGATGGGCTACCTCCCCAGGTGGAAGACCCCCATCTGCCCCTCACTTCAGTCCACAGAATGTGCAGAAACCGCCGTCTTGACCGTTGGACCCACTACTGGTCTCGTCCACTCAATCTCTTTGCACACAAGGGAAGTCCCTTAACTCACCCAAGGGTTTGAGTCCCATCCGCTACCCTCACCTGGTCTAGCAACAATGATCTGAAACTTTCATAGTTAGAATAACAAAAGCCTAAAAACAGATCAACACTTTCTAAGCAGATGGGTAAAAAGGTAAAGGTAAAGGGACCCCTGACCATTAGGTCCAGTTCCGGACGACTCTGGGGTTGCAGCGCTCATCTCGCTTTATTGGCCGAGGGAGCTGGCGTACAGCTTCCGGGTCATGTGGCCAGCATGACTAAGCCGTTTCTGGCGAACCAGAGCAGTGCACGGAAACACCGTTTTCCTTCCCGCTGGAGCGGTACCTATTTATCTACTTGCACTTTGACGTGCTTTCGAACTGCTAGGTTGGCAGAAGCAGGGACCGGCCAACGGGAGCTCACCCTGTTGCAGGGATTCGAACCACCAGCCTTCAGATTGGCAAGTCCTAGGCTCTGTGGTTTAACCCACAGCGCCACCCGCGTCCCCAAACAGCTGGGTAGGCTGCCTAAACAAGAGCATTTTTAGCAGGAGCCAAAAAGAGTGCAGCAAAGGTGCCCTTGCCTGGTGTCCATAGGCAGGGAGTTCCAAAGTGTAGGTGCTGCGACACTTTCTCTCTCTCTCTCTCTCTCTCTCTCTCTCTCTCTCCTTCCTTCCTTCCTTCCTTCCTTCACCACCCATCTGGCTGGGTTTCCCAGAGTTAAAAACACGATAAAACATCAAGCATAAAAAACTTCCCTGAACCTTCAGATGTCTTCTAAAAGTCAGATAGTTGACTTATTTCCTTTACATACGGTGGGAGGGCGTTCCACAGGGCGGGCGCTACCACCAAGGAGGCCCTCTGCCTGGTTTCCTGTAACCTCACTTCTCACAGTGAGGGAGCCATCAGAAGGCCCTCGGAGCTGGACCTCAGCGTCTGGGCTGGATGATGGGGGTGGAGACGCTCCTTCAGGGATACTGAATTTGAAAGATCAAATTCTTACAAAACGCAGAACGGGTATTTTGTAGCCCCTGTAAGGGCGCCCCACCAATCAAAGTGGCCAAGTGATGCTTTAGTGCTATGCTGCAGACTTTGCCCTAAAATCAAAGTAAGGTTCTGGTCCTCATTGTTCTGAGTAAGGGTCCCATGGAAAGAAGAACACAGAAAGTCTCAGATGCTCCATCCCTGACCTGAAGCCTTTCTCCGTAGAGGAGGAGAGAGAATAAATGTGCTCAGGGAAAAGAAATGGGAGCATTTCAGTCTCTTTCCCCCTTTCACCCCTTTTTGCAGTCGCCGGTCTTCCTGCTGTTCCTGGACTGCACCTGGCAGCTCTTGCAGCAGTTTCCCGGGTCCTTCCAGTTCACTGAGGCCTACCTGGTGGCTCTACACGAAAGCAGCTATGTCCCATTCTCCAGCACCTTCCTCTTCAACTGCCAGTGGGAGAGAGGGCGGAGAAACCAGGTGAGTTGAGCTTGGGGGATGGGGGACGGACACCCAGCCTGGTCTGGCACTTGTGAACCTATATATTTGAGCTGATTTATTGTATTTCTGTGCCATTGCATGGAAACAGAATGGGATTTTTGGAAAGTAAAGCACTCCTCTCTCACCTCTTGACAGCAGCCTAGGGGCTGTATTGCCAAACCCTGGAAAACCTTTGATCTTAATAATTCGGATTGCTGGTCCTCAAGGCTGTGATGGCTCAGGACTTCAATATTTCATTACAGTGGTACCTCGGGTTAAGCACTTAATTTGTTCCGGAGGTCCGTTCTTAACCTGAAACTGTTCTTAACCTGAAGCACCACTTTAGCTAATGGGGCCTCCTGCTGCTGCCGCGCCGCCGGAGCACAATTTCTGTTCTCATCCTGAAGCAAAGTTCTTAACCCGAGGTACTATTTCTGGGTTAGCGGAGTCTGTAACCTGAAGCGTATGTAACCCAAGGTACCACTGAATTCGCCTTCTTCATCTTCGTTATGTCTGCACTTCTTTTCTTTTGCTTACGAATCGATAACAATAAAAAGGGAAAACGAGGAAAAGCACTGCTTGGCTTTGAAAAGGGACAAGGGTTGGGCCAAATTTGCTGGGTCTCTTGAGCTCTGTTCCGATGCTGGGTGGGAAGGAGAGGCAAGACGACTTGAGCTGATCAACCAGGGATAGCCAAAATGGTACTCTCAGGAGGCTGCCGTTTCCCATCACCATCATCCCCAAGTGTTGACACTGTGCCAGTCGCTGGTAACTGGAGCCCAACAGAATCTGGACGGCGTCAGGTTGGGGAAGGCTGTTCTAGCCATTCTCTTCTCTGTGGCCTGCCTCTCCACTCTAGGAATCAACTCCTTCTCTTTAAAGATGGCGGTCCTGTGGCCCTCCGGCTGTTTTGGACTACAACTCCCACCATCCCCGGGTCATGGGCTGTGATGACCTGTTGGAAGGTGGTGTCCTGCAACCACTGGAAGGTGCTAGGTTGGGGAAGGCTGCTGAATCCATTCTCTTCTCTGTGGCCTGCCTCTCCTCTCTAGGAATCAGCTCCTCCTCTTGAAGGATAGGGGAAATCCTCACAATAGCCCTGTAGATCATGGGTAGGCAAACTAAGGCCCAGGGGCTGGATACAGCCCAATTGCCTTTTAAATCCGGCCCGCGGACGGTCCAGGAATCAGTGTGTTTTTACATGAGTAGAATAATAATAAATAATTAAAATAATTTATTATTTATACCCCGCCCATCTGGCTGGGTTTCCCCAGCCACTCTGGGCGGCTTCCAACAAAACACTAAACTACAATAACCTATTAAACATTAAAAGCTTCCCTAAACAGGGCTGCCTTCAGATGTCTCCTAAAAGTCTGGTAGTTGTTTTTCTTTTTTGACCTCTGGTGGAAGGGCGTTCCACAGGGAGGACGCCACCACCGAGAAGGCCCTCTGCCTGGTTCCCTGTAACATGGCTTTTTGCAGCGAGGGAACCGCCAGAAGGCCCTCGGTGCTGGACCTCAGTGTCCAGGCAGAACGATGGCGGTGGAGAATGTGTCCTTTTATTTAAAATGCATCTCTGAGTTACTCGTGGGGCATAGGAATTTGTTGATTATTTTTTCCCCAAAATATAGTCCGGCCCCCCCACAAGGTCTGAGGGACAGTGGACCGGCCCCCTGCTGAAAAAGTTTGCTGACCCCTGCTGTAGAGAGCAGGCCACTATTGTTGCAATGTTTCTTTGGCCAATAAAATCCATACAAGTGGAAAAGAAGAAATGCATTTTGGGAAGGGTCAGTTTATATACCGCCACCCCTCTCTCCCCCCAGAACCGTTTTCTCACGCAGCTCTACACTCCCATCAACGGCTGGCGAGAACCCCTCTGCCTGGAGATTCTGGAGAAAGACGGCTACCCGGTCAAGGAAGCCACGGGGGCCTCCCTGCCCACCATCTGGGACTGGTCCTTGAGATACAGCCCCCGGCACATGGCGCGCTTCCGGAACCCCTGCTACAGGCGCAGCGGGAATGGCGGCAGCAACGGCGGGGCTCTGAACGGGAACTTCCTTCCCCAAAACATTGGCAAGGTTTGTGTTTGGGAAGGCATGGAGGTCGTTTTCACAACTTGGGCTGGTGGATTCAGAGCCAGAGGACGGGTAGAAATCTTTGGCATCTCCCAGTCTGGTAGGGCACCAGGCTCCAGCAGACCTTTCCCTGTTTAGATCTAACTCTGCAACCCACAGGAATGCAGGAAGCTGTCTTTACAAGGTTCCAGTCCTCATGGTTCCAAAAAAAGGGTTGACTTAAGAAAGCAGGAAGCTTATATCTTATGCTGATCAAGCCATTGGGGGCCCGTCTAGCTTAGTATTGTCTGCACTGACTGGCAGTGGCTCTCCAGGTTCTCAGATAAGAAGCCTTTTTGCCAGCACCACTCAGTTTCCCGTTTGAATCTGGAACCCTGTTGTTAAGAGTTTGCTCTTGTGTTGAGATCCCGCCTGTGGGTTTTCAACAGGCATCTGGGTGGCCACTGTGGGAAGAGGATGCTGGAGCTGATGGGCCATTGGCGTGATCCAGCAGGGCTCTTCTGAAGGAACCACAGAATTGGAAGGGGTCCCGAGGGTCATCTTGTCCAAACCCCTTGCAATGCAGGAATCTCAACACGCGGTCTCCCATCCAATTTGAAACTACGCTGCTCTTATAGAACCTCCATGTCTAGAGACAGTCTATCTGGACTTCTAGGTTCTTAGGAGAATTTGGCCACTGTGAGAACAGGATGCTAGCTCAGGATGACAACCTGGGCTGGCTCAGAGGGTAGAGCATGAGCCTCGTAAACTCAGGGTCGGGCTCCGAGCCCTGTGCTGGGCAAATACATAGATAATTTAGATGATTTATTACGGTCAAAGACCAGCTCGCATAACACAATAAAAACAGCGTTCATAAAGATAAAATATACAATCGGAGCAGATTGCAGCAATAGCTCATGAGTTAAAATTGAGATATATACATACACCTGTACAACTGAGATTTGGGCTACCATAAAAAATTGACCCTGAGGCGCCCCAAAGGGCGACTTCAGCATTTCCCTAGTAGGCTATTTTATTCCAGAGGATGATCTGTGCCTACAAATCTGGGCGCAGAATCTGGCTACCAGCCAGGTCGTCTTGTGATCTTTGCCTGAGAGGAGAGAATGAAGTTTAGACTTGTCTGAAAGATCAGCGAGCCTCTTCAGCAAAGGATCAATGGTGTCTCTACGAATCTCAAGATAAAAAGGACATCTAAAAATATATATGTTCGGGGCTTCCTATTTCTCTGTGCGTACGGGACTCTTCTATAGGAGCCTTCCAGAACCGGTAAGGGCAAGGCTGAGCTTCTAGCAAGAGTGAAAGCCCTTCTTGCGTTTCTGGATGCGAGGAAATAAAGATATGTTGCTGGACCGGCTACGTATCTCCTGTCTTCTATGATTTTATAATCGGGGACCCTTGTACAGTCCTGTTGTCTCTCTATGTCCATGATTCTTTGCCTGACTACAGATCTAGCTTGGCCCAGGCCCATAGTTATGAGGGTTTGGGGAGCAAGGCCCAGTTTCTGAAGAGTGTTTAAGATTCCTGTCTGCCAGCCAGACTGAAACTGGTTGCTTCAGAGTTAGCCACTTATATATTGATGTTAGGCTAATATGAGCTTCGACTTTCATCATCCCTGTTTCTAGTCTGACCCATGCATTTGAAACGCATGTGCTGGGCAGAAGATTCCTACACGGCAGGGGGCTGGACTAGATGGCCCTTGTGGGTCCCTTCTAACCTTACAGTTCTATGATTCTATAAGAACAACAGATAAAAATTAAAAGATGAAAAACAAAACTATAAAACAGGCACATAGAATGCGCACAGTTGCACATGGTTTAATATAACCGGGTGCAAGAAAAAAATACCGTATTTTGCGCCCCATAGGACGCATCTAGTTTTTTGGGGGGGGAAATAAAGAAAAAAAAATTTATTTCCCCCCCAGGTGCAGGGCTGGAAGAACCAGGTCGGGGAACAGCGGAAAGGCTCGCTCCACCTCCCCACTGACCCCCGAGCTTGTGGGGCTGGCGATGGGGAGAAGTGCGCTGAGCCCGGGACTGCAGGCACTTCTGCGCGGCCATCGGAGCTGGTCTCCCGAGGGTTGTGCAGAGCTTCCTGAAGCCTGGAGAGCGAGAGGGGTCGGTGCACCGACCCCTCTCGCTCTCCAGGCTTCAGCAAAAGCCTGCATTCGCCCCATAGGACGCACACACATTTCCCATTCATTTTTGGAGGGGAAAAAGTGCTTCCTATAGGGCGAAAAATACGGTATGTGTGTGTTCTTGTGGGATTTTTTGTTTCTGCATTAAATATGCAAAACAAACAAACAAAAAAGAATATCAGCGCCATCTCGTTGTCAAGTCTAGTTCCAGATTTTCAAGGTTTGAGATGAGAGTTGTCTTGAAGACTGCTCCGCCGCATACATACAGTATGTACTAAGGGAATGCCAAATCATATAAAAAGTGTCTGGAGGTTCTAGCCCTCGTCAAAATCTCAAATTATGTGCAATTTTCTCCCTTAAAGCTATATTCCAGAGTGAGCGGCACACCAAGCACACTGTGTAAGATTTGGGACTGTTTTCCAGGGAGTTGCAATTACTGTTTGAGCTGCCAGGATCAGATCCAAGACCTGGTTCCTTCGCTCTTCCGATGTTCTGAGCTTTCCCCCTTCCTTCCTCCAGATGGAAAACGCTCCTCCTGGGAAAAGGACCCTGTACTTGTTCTCCAAGGGCTCCCTCTCTCTGCAGGCCCACTTCTTCCCCTGGAAAAACGGCTCCCTCGCCAAGAAAGGCTCCCGCCGGTCTCAGGGGTCGGAGGCCCCCAGGGAGCAAGACAGGTCGCGGAGGTGCAAAACCCGGAGCTTCCTCCTCCATCACGACGGGCTGCTCCTTCTGCCATCGTATGCAGGGCCCTCCATCCGCTTGTGGAGAAGGTGCTACCTTCGCGGGAGCCCGGAAACCCAGGTACGAAACAGCAGAGGCGTAGCACAAAATAACAGAATCGCGGGCAGGTTGAGAGGTGGTCATTAGAGAACCCAACCTGCGTTCTGCAAAAAAACGCTTCCTCATATTTCTTGGGTTCAAAAAGTCCCGCCATTAATAGAAGCTGTTCCACAAGCAGAGGGAAGAGATTTATTTATACCGTATTTTTCAGTGCATAACACGCCCCTGTGTATGAGACGCCCCCTATTTTGGGGGACTCAAAACTAAGAAAATGAGGGGAGATTGCCCAGAGTTTTTGAGCTTTTGGGGGGGGGGATTTTCGTCCCCATTCTGCACTATCCATGTATAAGACGACCTCCCATTTTTGACATTATTTTCTCAGAAAAAAACCTTGTCTTATACACGGAAAAGTATGGTATGTTCGTTCTAAACCTTTTACAGTTTGTAATCCCATCACAATTGGCCTCCTAGCAGCAGTTCAAATCTAAAAAACTAACTAACTAAAATGTCATAAAGAACTCCAACTTCTGAGAAGATGGACAGAAATGAGGCCGGAGGATATGCTGAATGACAACCCAATTCGTTAAATGTGTTTTTGGTTTCATTTACCTTATGCACAAAACGCCTCGAGGTGGAAGTTTAGAAGGCGATTAATAAACCAATGGTGGTGATGATAAACATAATAAAAATAAATGATAATTTCATGGTATGGGGAGGAGGATGTATACAGAGGGGCTAACGGGTAGGAATCCCAAGAGGTAGAGGTTAGCAGCTGTGTGGTGACATCTAGTGTCCAAACTACTTTTGGATTCTTTTATAAAAGGGTTTTTTCCTCATTATTACAGTATGAGCGGACGTGGGTGGCGCTGTGGGTTAAACCACAGAGCCTAGGACTTGCCGATCAGAAGGTCGGCGGTTCAAATCCCCGCGACGGAGTGAGCTCCCGTTGCTTGGTCCCTGCTCCTGCCCACCTAGCAGTTCGAAAGTACGTCAAGTGCAAGTAGATAAATAGGTACTGCTCCGGCGGTGTTTCCGTGCGCTGCTCTGGTTCGCCAGAAGCGGCTTAGTCATGCTAGCCACATGACCCGGAAGCTGTATGCCAGCTCCCTCTGCCAGTAAAGTGAGCTGAGCGCCGCAACCCCAGAGTTGGCCACGACTGGACCTAATGGTCAGGGGTCCCTTTACCTTTACAGTATGAGCACATATTATGCAGGGAGGGTGGGATTTTGGTTGCAAGGGTTCCATATTTACATGAAAATCTTGTATACCAAAACCCTTGGCACTGCGAGAGAGAATCCTCAGCACTTCCAGAGCTCATGTCCTGAAGGGTCTTGCCCAGCAAGCAAAGCAGAGAGCGTAAAAGCTCTTTCCGTGCCAGGGAACCCCAGCAGACACAGCACAAATACGAGCTTCTTGCTTTGATGTAATTTGCACAATTTCAACCAGCTGATCTTCAGCTGTGCTGAAGTTGCAGACCTTGCTTCTGAGTTAAGGACTCGGAAGCAGCTAGACCCACCGTTTTGCAAACAGTGATCCTCAAATCTACCGTCAGTTGTGGAAGCAATGAGGAGGAAACCAGAAGATGAAGTGAGGACGACTTCCTGATGTTGATAGCTGCCTTTAGCAGCTCATGATTAGAAACAGATTCTTCACAGCTAGGTCTCCAGAGGCCAGTGTGCGCCACGTCTATTAGGCAGCCACTGTATCCTGCCCCTTCCAGCCTGCGCCAGTTCATTAAAAGAGGAAATAAATAACAGGGATTTGGAAACGAGTTCTGAAGCAAAAGTCCTGCGGGTGGAAATAGGAACAAGGGATGCTAGACGCTTAGAAAATTATGCCTGGCGTTGAGAAAGTGATGCAGAAAAGTATTTCTGCCTCTCTCTTAACGGCAGGACTTGAAGTTGAATGTTGGAAAATTCAGGAAAGATTAAAAAGAGGACTTCTTCACATAGTGCAAACTGTGGAACTCGTTCCCCTAGGAGCCAGGGATGGCTTTGGAAGAGGACTGGACTAATTCATGGAGAAAAAGGCTATCAGTGGCTACCAGCCATGATCAGAGGCAATATATGCTTCTGAATCCGAGTTGCTGGAAACTGCAGGAAGGGAGTTTACTGATGTTGCATTCAGGTCCTGCTTGTGGTCTTCCGAACAGAACACTTGGTTGGCCACCGTGAGAACAGCAGGCTGAACTAGATGGGCCTCCTCTGGCTTGATCCAAGCAGGGCTCTGATATATTCCTATACAAGGGAGCCAATTTAAAAGGAGGGTATGAAAAGCCTCTCCCCCCAAGCCATTGGTGGTCCTTGCTGGCGACGTAAGTCTCTTTCCGCTTAGCGCAGAGATGGAGAACGTTTCTCCCAGCTCGAGGGGCTGCCTCCTCTTCTTGCCAGTCTTCAAGGTGAGATAGCTCGGTTGGTTAGAGTGTGGTGCTGATGACGCCACGGTTGCAGGTTTGATCCCCATAAGGAACAGCTGCATGTCCCTGCGTTGCAGGGGGTTGGACCAAGTGATCCTTAGGATCACATTCAACCTTATGATTCTGTGATCCCAAAGGTCACGTGTCTGTGGTAGGCAAAAAATGGGCGGGGTTACAGATGTAAACATTGCTGTTTCACAGAATGGTAGAGTGGGGAGGGACCGGGGGCGTCTTACCCATAGAGACGGGTGGCGCAGGGCGCCAAGTTCTGGAGGGCGCCAGGGAAGAGGCAGAGGCTGGATGTGGCGCCTCCCAACATCAGCTTACTGCCATCGCCCGCCTCCACCATGTTGCGCCGAAGCAGCGCTGCACATGGAGCTTCTGCCTGCCGTGGCCACCACGGCACGAAGTGGCCAGCTGAGCTGGGAACTGCTGCGTCCAGCCTCCGCCTCTTCCCTGCCGGAGGGGCCACCCTCCAGCCGCTGTCCGCCTCCTCCAGCCCTGCAAAGCTGGGTGCATCGCTGGCAGTGCCATCCTCCCTAAAAAAGGTCAGCAACTCTGGGAAATGGGGGGGGGGGAATCTTTGCACCACAGCGCCAGAGATGTTTAAGACAGCCCTGGGATGTCCCTGCAAGGGTCATCTCGTCCAGTCCCCTGTCCAGTAGGGAGGGACCGCCTCTCCCGATATGCCCCGCGGAGGACCTTAATGTCCATAAATAGCAACACCCTAGTGGTCCCGGGCCCTAGGGAAGTCAGATGAGCCTCAACCAGGGACAGGGCCTTCGCAGCACTGGCTCCGGCCTGGTGGAACGCTTTGTCTCATGAGACCAGGGCCCTGCAGGATCTGATTTCTTTCTGCAGGGCCTGTAAGACAGAGTTGTTCCGCCTGGCCTTTGGCTTGGAATCAATTTGATTCCCTCCCTCTCTTCTTTTTCCTTTCTCCTTCTGTGATGGGACTCTTATTTGGGGACTTTCCTGGCTTTTTTCTGGCCCACGTAGGACCAGTTTGGATAGTTGGCCTTTGGTGAAGATTTGACATTTTAATCCCCAAAAAGTTTTTGATTTGAGTTTCTACTGAAATGAGGCTGCATTTTAATGTTGTACTTAATCTTCTTTTTAAGTTGTATTTTAATCAATTGTTTTTACCTGGTGTTAGCCGCCCTGAGCCCGGTTTTGGCTGGGGAGGGCGGGGTATAAATAAAATTTATTAATAATAATAATAATAATAATTCCACAGCTGGGAAGTCTTGTCTGCTGCTGTTGCAATATGGTTTAGTAGTTTTGTAGAAACAGCAGTCTTTCCTTTCTCTTCAGGTCGGCCTCTTTGCTCCCAGCATTGTGGGCCTCACTGAGGAACTGGACCTGCTCCAAGAGCGGCTGAACTACTGGCAAGCCAGAGGAAGCTAGTGACACGATGCTTGAGAAGGCCGAAGCGTTCCACGCAGAGCCCATGCAGACTGCCTGGAGCTCCCTCCTGCCACCCCATCAGGAACGGGGCAGGCCCTCAGCGTATCCAACGCAGACCTGGTGCATCCCGCTTTCCAAGAAGAGACAGCAGTTGCAATATGCACATTTCAGAGATTCGCAGAATTGTCGAGTTGGAAGAGACTCCAAGGGTCATCCAGTCCAACCCCCTGCAATTTTCACAGAGCTCCATTTGGAAATCTTTACCCATTTGGGAGAAAACTGATGCACTCAGGCTACGGGATTGATGTCTGTGGCTGGACAACCGCGCCCCGATTCATCGGAAGTGTCTGTTCTGGAGTTGCCCAGCTCAGCAAACAGATCTTATTGACCCATCTGCGGTTCTGTCCTGAATTTATACTCGCCCCAAATGTTGTTTTGATTGCAAAGGGACGTGGGGCTTAATATCGCTGCGATATTGGGTGCCTGCCATCAGGTGTTTGGTTTGTGTTTGGTTTTTTAATTAAAGAACTTACTAAAGCCGCATACATTTATGTGGCTTCCCCCAAAGAATCTTGGGAAACGTAGTTTGTCAAGTGTGCTAAAGATCATCAACTACGGTTCCCAGGATTCTTTGGGAGAAGTCATGTGCCTTAAATGTGTGATGCGTCATTAATCCAGATTAAATTTTGGGGGTGGTGGGCAGCAGGGAATAACATGGGCTGCTGGCATTCTGATGTTACTGTCATGATGCCCCCACCCCCAAAAGGCCTGAATGCTCGAGGAGCAACCATCCCATAATAAACACCTGCCTGGAAGTGCCTGGAAGCACCTGGTAGCCCAGAATGGGCTGACCAGCTCTGTGTAGTCTGCTTTACTCTCTCTGCCTCCTAGAACCCACTAAGGGGTATTGACCTATATGTCCCCAAAATTTCCAGTTCTCGTAACACTTAAAACGTGGGGTAGCCAACGCGGTTCCCTCCAGATGTTGGTGGGCTTCGGCTCTCGCTGTCGTCCCTAACCATTGGTTGCACTGGCTGCTGCAGTTGCGAGGGGGCTTGGAGATCAACAACATCTTGAGAGCATCACAGGATGCAGTGATGGCCCCCAGCCCAGATGGCTTTAAAAGAGGATTAGACACGCTCATGGAGGAGAGAGTTATCGAGGGCTACTAGCCAGGATATAGGGACGCGGGTGGCACTGTGGGTTAAACCACAGAGCCTAGGAATTGCCGATCAGAAGGTCGGCGGTTTGAATCCCCACGACTGGATGAGCTCCCGTTGCTCGGTTCCAGCTCCTGCCAAACTAGCAGTTTGAAAGCATGTCAAAGTGCAAGTAGATAAATAGGTACCACTCCGGCAGGAAGGTAAACGGCGTTTCTGTGCGCTGCTCTGGTTCGCCAGAAGTGGCTTAGTCATGCTGGCCACATGCTGTACGCTGGCTCCCTCAGCCAATAAAGCGAGATGAGCGCCGCAACCCCAGAGTCGGCCACAACTGGACCTAATGGTCAGGGATCCCTTTACCTTTTCCTTTAGTAGCCAGGATGGCTATGCTCTGCCTCTGTAGTTGGAGGAAGAAATGCCTCTGAACCCCAGTTGCTGGAGACCACAGGAGGGGGCAATGCTATTGTGCTTAAATCCAGCGTGTGGGTTCCTTGGAGGCATCTGGTTGTGAGAACAGGATTCTGAACTAGGCGAGTCCCCTTGGCCTCATCCAGAATACTCTTGCACAGAATATCTGCTTCGTCCAGGCATATTTGCAAGCATCAGGCAGCCCACGAGAAATTGGCTAGTGGACCAGCACCTCCTTCAGTCCCTAGACTGCAGTGTTAGGCGTGAGCTTTCCTTTGCAGTTTGTGAAAAACCAAACAACAACCCTGGAGTATTAGAATCTTGCTCGTCTTTGTAGGGGGATAGAAGTGAAATGTTGTTGTTCCTCCTCTACCAGAGATGGTGGGGTGACTTTTCCTTTTCAACTGTTGCCGAGTAATCAATATTTTGATGCTTTGGGATCCAGTGCCGAGCGGGCCCCAATCTCATTAGATCTGCACCCACAAGGCTGCAACAAGGGCTTGCAAATAAGTTTGAACAAACTTTGGAAAGTGAAATGTTCAGGAGGATTCTCCAAGGATTCTCCCGACAGCAGATTTTTCTTTCCTGCCAAGCTGAGCAATAAATCTAATGGCCTCAAAGCTCTGGACAGAACTGACGGGAAGCTTTATTATTATTATTAAACTGGGAAATCATGCTTTCGCAATCTGTAAACCAGATTTTCTGGCCAGTTCTGGGGTACATACACACCCCAGTTCTTCTTTAGCACTTTCTGTGGTCATTTCCACAGTCACTTTTTTTTAAAAAAAAAGTTTGGTGTGGAAGATAAGAGGTGCCAAAACAGATGTTCAGAGAAGCTTTTAAAAAAAATATATAGCACTTATTGAGAAATGGCATGTTATGTATGTGAGAGAAATCCCATCCCCTGCCTCTAGCCTGCTTACTGGCATGAGATATTGCCCTGTGGTTAAATAAAGGGACCACCCTGGTTGCAAACAGGACAATGAATTAAAAAAGAGCTGGTCTGCTCCAACAAATTATTGTCCCCTAGGCAGAAATGGTGGAATTTTCTGCTGTGTGTACTGTTCAGAAATGAAAGAACACAGTACAGCTGTGTGCATGTATTGGAGAGTCCGCTAAAGGGCTTTATCCCAAAATCACAGAATTGTAGAGTTGGAAGAGACTCCAAGGACCATTCTAGTCCAATTCTCTGCAATGCAGGGATCACAGATAAAACATCCACGACAGAGGGTCACCCAACCTCTGCTTAAAAACCTCCAAGGAAGGAGAGTTTGCCACCTTCCAAGGGAGTCCGTTCCACTGTAAAACAGTTGCTGCTGCTGCCACTCCATACTCAAGAATAGGTTTCCCCGAGGCTTGTTAAAAAACAGGAAAATGTTAAACAGTTAAAAATTCATTAACAGTGTTCGTCAGGCAGCATTCAATGTTGCTTCATATGTCTGGTATCTATAAATCATCAAAGCGGAGTCCTTTGGTACGCCGTTGCCTGGGAACGCCGAAATGCGATGCTGGTACTTAGGAACTTAATACGTCTCTCCATCCATTTCTGTATATTATGTTTGCACTGTCTTGTTGTCGTGTTCCTTCAATGTGTTTCCCCCCCTCGCTAACAGGAGAAAATCCATAGTGGGAAAGTATTTCCATTTAAGATATATGGTTTTTGTGTTTTTTTCCTTTTGCCCCCAAGCAAAGGGGGTTAAAATGCTGCTGTTACATATTTGCTGTTAAATGTTTCCATTTCCATTTTATAAGCTTTGGTCCAGAAGCCTTTTAGAGCTAATGGGGAAACAAGCAGTTTTAAGCTAAAGAACAATTTCAAATAAATAAATAAGTACCTTGTGAATACAATTCTGCAGGTAATTGTAAATGGATTTGCTCCCAGGGACATTTGTAAGTTGGAGGAAAAGCGTCCCCCTCCCCATCCTTTGGCTACAAACTGTCCTACAGCTGTTTTAAGGGGATAATATATGGTCAGGGCTTGTGACACTGCAACCTTCTCTCCTTAAACAGACACGAGATTAAAAGAAAGAAAAGAACCCCCTTTATGTATCCCAGATGCTGAGGAAAAAACAACACTGGACTGTTGCATTCACAAGCCCTGTTTGTGGACTTCCCAGAAGCACCTGGTTTTCTGCTGCTGGGGAAAATATATTTGTTTGTCGATTCATTTATTTATTTACGGCATTTGCCACTGGGATTTTCAGCCCCAAAGTCTCCCAGAGTGGTTTACACACTATCAATTGAAACAAGAGTCCCCGGTGCCCACAGGCTTATAATCTTTTTAAAACAAAAAACAAAACATAACTACAACATACAAGGGTAAAAGGCCACAGAGGGAGGAGGAAAAACAAAAATCAGGCCAACTGGCAAGTAAACAATTCATGGCTGCCTAGTGGAGCTCGTCTTTCTGCAAAGCTGATGGGATGAGCCTTCTGCTCCCGACCGCTCTCCCTGAGACAGCCTCATAGCTGCTCTTAAATTCGTCTTCAGCTTCATGTAATTCAGTTCTGTCATTGCTACTACCACCCAGAAAGATAAACTGGAAGCATCATTCTGATACGGCGGATAAAATGTGTGTGTGTGTTTCCAGACTGTCACTGTTTGTTGGCGGGAATCAATCACATATTTTCAAATCCAGATTGCACAATTAGGGGATGATGGTGAGCTCTGCAGTAACAAGCCCGCCTCCCTAAAAGAGCGAACTTTTGAGGGAATTGAAAGAGATGGGAAATACACTGCAAAATTGTGGGATGACATCTGCTTCGACACATCATCTAACCTCCCTGCAAAAACATCGGAATGAATCCTTTATAAATAGCCAATGTCGTCTAGTCTCCCTGCAAAGAAGCCAGGATGAATTCTTAGTAAATATGTCATATGGAAGATCCTCACTCCTATTTTTCCATCTGTCGTATGTCCCTAGAATCAGGACCACCCCCACCCCACCCCCCGCACAGGAAGGTGTGACTCACTTTAGGCCAGGCATGTCCAAAGTCCGTTTCAGGGGCCTAATCCAGCCCGCCGGTCGGTTCAATCCGACCCCTGTGGCAGTTTATTTCTTGGGATAAAATCCTAAAAAAAACAAACCCTCAACAACTTCAATCCTAAAAAGCTCAATAACTTTGGGGTAAAATCATAAAGAAAGCTCAGCAACTTCAATCGTAAAAAAAGGTCAACAAATTTGGCCGGCCCTCACGGCCCTTCACTTCATCAAATCTGGCCCTCTTTGAAAAAAGTTTGGACATCTCTGCCTCAGGCCCAAATATGTCCCATTTGTGAAAGCCCAACTTACGATGGGCTTTGGGGAACTACTGTTATGCCCATTCTGTACATTTTCTGTGCCCTCTTCATGTTATGCTGCTCACGCAAGCCAAGTGTTTGTGCTAAACGGGGGAAATATATTGATTGTTAGCTGTGTAATCTGGGTGATGTCTCTCTGGTTTTGGGATGAAAGGAGGAGCTAGGGAGAAGTGGGCACATCACCATGAGCTCCTTAGAGAGAAAGGTGGGGTAAAAATGCGAAGAAGAAAATGGAAGTGGGAGTGCGTTTTGAGACTAGCCTTCTGCACAAAAGGCAAAACTCACCATGAGGACTAGAATCTTGCTGTTTTTCAATGGGAGTGCAACACGGCAAACATTTTAAAGCCCATAGCTCCATAGCTGTCAACTTTTCCCTTTTCTTGCGAGGAATCCTATTTGGAATAAGGGAATTTCCCTTTAAAAAAGGGAAATGTAGACAGCTATGCATAGCTCCCTCAAAGTTATCTTGGGAACTGTAGTTTGTAAAGGGTGCTGGGAATTGTAGCTCAGCAAGGGATAAACTAAATTTGCCAAGATTTGGGGTGGATGGAAATTCGTGCTTTAAATGTATTGTTGTTGTTTAGTCGTTTAGTTGCATCCGACTCTTCGTGACCCCCTGGACCAGAGCACGCCAGGCACTCCTGTCTTCCACTGCCTCCCGCAGTTTGGTCAAACTCATGCTGGTAGCTTCGAGAACACTGTCCCACCATCTCGTCCTCTGTCGTCCCCTTCTCCTTGTGCCCTCCATCTTTCCCAACATCAGGGTCTCTTCCAGGGAGTCTTCTCTTCTCATGAGGTGGCCAAGGTATTGTAGCCTCAGCTTCAGGATTTGTCCTTCCAGTGAGCACTCAGGGCTGATTTCCTTCAGAATGGAGAGGTTGGATCTTTTTGCAGTCCATGGGACTCTCAAGAGTCTCCTCCAGCACCAGAATTCAAAAGCATCCATTCTTTGGCGATCAGCCTTCTTTATGGTCCAGCTCTCACTTCCATCCACCACTACTGGGAAAACCATAGCTTTAACTATACGGACCTTTGTTGGCAAGGTGATGTCTCTGCTTTTTAAGATGCTGTCTAGGTTTGTCATTGCCTTTCTCCCAAGAAGCAGGCATCTTTTAATTTTGTGGCTGCTGTCACCATCTGCAGTGATCATGGAGCCCAAGAAAGTAAAATCCCTCACTGCCTCCATTTCTTCCCTTTCTATCTGCCAGGAGGTGATGGGACCAGTGGCCATGATCTTAGCTTTTTTGATGCTGAGCTTCAAACCATATTTTGCGCTCTCCTCTTTCACCCTCATTAAAAGGTATATGTGCATATACTGTATCCCAAATTCACCCTCCTGCTAAATCTGGGGGAAACAGAGTCCTGTCTTTTTCGAATGCTGGAGAGCAAGTGACCCAATCAGGAGGGAGGGGAGGGACGTGGTGGAGCTACGCCGACGCTGATTTGCCCGCGTTTCTGGCCTTTTTCTCTCTTGCGCGCAAGGAGCGCCGCTTTCTCTCCCTCGCCGTGTGTTTTGTATTGGGAGGGAATGGACACGCCACGCTCGAGATGGTACCGGAAGTGACGTCCCCAACTAACCGCCATTTCGACCTTATCGCTTCCTGTTGCGTACAATTAACGTACGATACTGCGTACTATACTCCGAATACAGTTCTGTGTATGGAATATAGTAACAGTCGCAAAACTAACAATTTCTGAGGAGAAAACCCTGAGGTGAAAAAACAAATGACATTCACACACACAAATATATATATATATATATGTGTGTCTGTGTGTGTATTATATATATATATATATATAATATGTGTTATATATAATATGTGTTATAATATACATCTTATTACGACACGATATTAGAATTACCTCATAGTGTGTTTATTCCGTTAGAACCTTCTTACGTACCGCAACTTCCGCCCGCCCTCTTTCAAAATGGCGGCGCCGCTTTCACCTTAACACGGCCGGACGGGGCATTTCACCTCCTCCGTTTAAACTTGACGAGGGCCGAACTGCTTTTTCACAACGTCACGTCCGGTTTCCCGCCCTCTTTAACTGCCCGCTCCTAAGATGGCCGACAGCGCCTCAGGATCGCCGGTAGTACGCGCCGCTTCCGGTGGGCGGGGCGGTGTCGGCAGTGGCTCCTGGGAGGCCGTCGTGCTTGAGGCGTTGGGGTCGCGAGGTGGTTGGAAAGTGGCGCCAAGATGGCGGCTGGGCCCATCTCTGAGAGGAACCAAGGTGAGGGCTGGGGCTGGGGGGCAGGTCCCGGCAGCTCCCTCTTCTCCAGGGCGGAGGCTGTTGAAGTGGGGGACTATTATGGGTTGGAGCCCCCCCCAAAAAACCTCCCCTCCCCTCCCCTCTTGGCGTGGCAGGACCATTGGCTTTGCATAGGGAGGGATTAATGCAGTAGTAGTAGTAGTAGTAATAATAATAATAATCAGTAGTAGTAGCAGATGCTAATTATTATTGCTAACAGTACAGTCTCTATATAGGGGGAGCTTCCCCGTTTTGGAAGTGGGTGGGTGAAGTTAAAGCTGTTCTTGTTAATAGCAACAGAGGCTAATTACAATTAATAATAAAGATTTCAGCAGTGCGTGAGGCTATATTTATCATCACACTTACTGTCAGGCCAGTCTACATTGGGGTAGTGTCCCCGTTTTGCATGGCGTGGGTGACATTAAAGGCTCTATTATTATTATTATTATTATTATTACTACTACTACCGCTTAAAAGCTACTTTTGTTTTTATTATTAAATTTAAGCTGCTATTTTTATTTGCAGTAGTGGATGCTAATTATTGCTAATAATTCGGCTTTTGCAAGTGCAGGTGTCTACTGAAATGTTATTAAGTTGCAACTAACTTCAGGCGGTACTTGAAGTGACAATCAGTGTACATGTCTAGCTTATATGTCCATGAATTGCATAGGCCAGTTGGAAGGGATCCAAGGGTCATCTAGTCCAACCCCCCTGTAGTGCATTTGTTTGGATGAGTTGGTGGAGAGATCTCTGAAAAGCCTTCTCTCTCTGTCCATGCAACTGATGTGTGTGTCTCTTTCCTCTCCGCTCCAGATGCCACTGTGTACGTTGGAGGCCTGGACGAAAAGGTCAGCGAACCTCTCCTGTGGGAGCTGTTCCTCCAGGCAGGTCCGGTCGTCAACACCCACATGCCCAAAGACAGAGTCACTGGCCAGCATCAAGGTAAGCGATGCCAAGAGCATGTTGTTTTGGAGGGAGCACGTTTGTCAGCGGATGTAACATGGCACCCTCCATGTTGTTGGACTCCAGCTCCCATGTGTTGTCAGCCAGGATGGCCAACCTGAGCCATAAATCTTCCTTTGGCTTTGCTCATGAGCCAGCGATGGTCCCACCTATCTTGCAGCAAAGTCCAGTTCACTCATGTGCATAAGAATTGTCTTCTTGGGGGGGTGAATAGTCAGTAATTTCTGTGCATATAAGGTGCACCTTTTCCCGAGTCAGACCCATTTGCCCATCTAGCTCAGTGTTGTCTACACTGACTGGCAGCAGCTCTCCAGCATTTCAGGCAGAGGTTCTCTCCCAACCCTACCATGAGATGCCACTGGGAGTTGAACCCGGGACGTTCTGCATGCAGAGCGGGTGCTCTTCCACTATGCTATGGCAGAGCACCTACCCTGTAGGTTTGCTTATTTAATTAGCTTTTCTTAACGCACCCTTTAAAAAGGCCCCTGTGGGCTGCAACAACAAAATAAGTCATTATAAAACAAATGAAACAGTTGCAACCTTGAAACAAAGAAAGGACAAAAACGATTCTAAATATACAAAAACAATATGTGCATTTAAAAACAATTATAATGTAAAAATGGTTGTGGTTTAAAGCAGTCACATGCCTTCCTTCCATGATATTTATCCCAGGTCGCTTACAGTGCATACTGAAACAAGCAAATAACCCCTCTCCCCCACCCAGCAAAGCAGTGGCTCCCGAATCTTTTGGGACCACCACACCCTGGTTCCATAAACTTATCCCAGGTGCCCCCTACCTTATTAAAAGCTTTATTTAGAATAGCGGTTTGCATGTCACACCGAGGAAGATAATAACACAATAAAATTCAGAGCTCTTGCGATTAATTGCACGCTTACTGAAAACCCAATTAAAACTATTTAGTTTAATTAACTGGGACTGGTTATAAGGAACATACGACTCCCTTGCTAGAACAGATCCACTGGTCTGTTTCTGGACGCAATTCAAAGTGCTGCGTATGACCTATAAAGCCCTGCATGTCCTAGGTCTCTGAAAGACCACAATTCCTCATGTGAACCTGCCTGGGTTTTGAGATCTTTGGGGGAGACCCTTCTCTCAATACTGCCACCCTGACAGCTGGGGACATGGGAAAGGGCCTTCTTGGTGGTGGCCGCTCCCAGACTTTGGACCTCCCGTCCTCCTTGTCCTTTCTCAGGGAGGTGAAGAACCTGTTCCAACAGGCTTTGGGGAATTGACTGCTTTTAATGAAAGGGCTGGTGCTGGGCTGCTTTTATTGTAATTATTTGTATGTTTTAAACATATTTTGTATATGTATATAGTTTGAATTCTATCAATGCTTACCGGTAACTGTTTTTTAAAGATGGTTCCTCCCCCCCAATGCTTTTAGCTATCCTTGGTTTTTTATCTGTGAACCACCTAGACTGAGTATAAATATAATAGCATAAATATATAAATAAAGAGTATAAATATATAAAAAAGACTGAGTATAAATATAACAGCAGCAGCAATAATGATAATAATAATTCAACAAAACTGATGAACTTGATCCAGTGGTACCAGCTTCTTAAATGATTTATATCTCTAGCACCTCCCTGCCATCCCCTTGGCCCCTTCGGGTCACCTTTCCCCAGGTAATCCCACCAACATCTTTGGGAACCACTTTGTAAAGGGACAGTGAGTTGCCATCTGCTCTCAGCAGATGCATTAAACCTAGTGGCTAGCTTGGGTTCCATTAATTTCATTGGGTCTGCTCTTGAGTTGAACTTGGACGTCTACAATCCTCATACACAAACACTGCATTGTGTTCTTTTAAGCTAGGGTTGCCATATGTCCAGGATTGTCTGGAAATGTCGAAAATCCGGCAGTGCCATATTTGCCCAATTTTCCATAAAACCAGCTCAAAAATGGCATATAAATTTTGCTCCGAAAGCTCAACAGCTTTGCTAAAAAAAACCCCTCTACAATCTGTCCAGATTTTCACTGTTTGGCAACCCTATTTTATTATTTTTTTAAAAATTCATTTTTATTAAATTTTCCACTTTAACAGTCCAATCAAATCACATTAAATATTCCAAATTATACATATACATATCAAGTAATCTGAATATTCTGCCAAATTATAAATTTTTAATAGGACTTCCCAGGCTTCAAGTTCTGATCATCTCATACTTCTACTGCTTTTCATAGTCACTTCCGATGGTTCCTCTAATTCTTTCTGTTGTTAACCTTCCTTCTTTCACAGCCTCTGAGTTGTTCCCACAAGCGAGTTAAAACAAACAATGACGTGTTTCTGTGTGGATTTTATGTCTATGATTCCCCTCTATCAGTTCACAGCATCTCCTCACACACTGGTGTTTCTGCCGAATCAATCCGAAAGTCTTTTCGCTTCTGGCAGCTGCTATCTCCGCTCGGTTCCGATAAAATTACTGAGCAGACGCTTAGACTTGATTTCGTGGCAACCCTATTTTGAGCGTCTTTCTCGTCCTGTCTCCTTCCAGGCTATGGGTTTGTGGAGTTCCTTAGCGAGGAGGATGCCGACTACGCCATCAAGATCATGAACATGATCAAGCTGTACGGGAAGCCAATCCGGGTGAACAAGGCCTCGGCCCACAACAAGAACCTGGACGTGGGCGCCAACATCTTCATCGGCAACCTGGACCCGGAGATTGACGAGAAGCTCCTCTACGACACGTTCAGCGCCTTCGGGGTCATCCTCCAGACCCCCAAGATCATGCGCGACCCGGACACGGGAAACTCCAAGGGGTACGCCTTCATCAACTTTGCCAGCTTCGACGCCTCCGACGCCGCCATCGAGGCCATGAACGGACAGTACCTGTGCAACCGCCCCATCACCGTCTCCTACGCCTTCAAGAAGGACTCCAAGGGCGAGAGGCACGGCTCGGCGGCCGAGCGCCTCCTGGCCGCCCAGAACCCCCTCTCGCAGGCCGACCGGCCCCACCAGCTCTTCGCCGACGCCCCTCCTCCGCCCTCAGTGCCCACCCCGGTTGTCACCACCTTGGGGCCAGGCGTCACCCCGCCAGGTATGCAGCCCCCTCTTTTCCTTTCGATATTTCTAAACTGGCTGGTGTTTTTCAATTTAGGTCTCTCTCTCTCCCCCGCCCCCCCCCCAGTCCCTCTCCCTGTGTCTCTGTCTCATTGGTTTTGAGAATGTTGAGAGTTGGCTGGTAGCCACAATGGCAGTGCTCTGCCTCCACAGGCAGTAGTGCTTCAGAAGAGCTGGAAACCACTGGGGGAGAACGCTCTTCAGCTCAGTTCCTGCTTGTGGGCTTCCCATTGTGGCATCTGGTTGCCCACTGCCAGAATGGGATGCAGGCCTGCTCCAGCAGCCAGGCTCTTTTGATGTTCTTATGGAGTCTCCAGATCCACAGGCAGTCTAGACGCCTAGGCCCTTAGGGGTATTTGGACCCTGTGAGAACAGGAGGCTGGACTAAATAATAATAATAATAATAAATTTTTTTTATTTATACCCTGCCCTTCCCGGTTCAAAAAACCAGGCTCAGGTCAGCTAACAACAAAATTAAAACACTTAATTGAAGCAACAAAAAACAGCATAAAATACAGTATACAACATGAATAACAATAAATTCAGAATTTGAAAATCAAATTTTTTTTTGGGGGGGGGGAATCCATCCAATAAACATTAGGTGATCACCAGGGCTAGCTGGCTAAATTAGTCCTATTTGGGCCAGTGAGGAGACCAAGGAAGAATTAGCTGTGGGGTCCCAGAACGGGTAATCTTCATAAAAAGGGAAGGAAGGGGAATATAAGATCAGGCTAAGTTCAAATTGAAAGCCGGGCAGAATAGCTCTGTCTTACAGGCCCTGCAGAAGGAAGTTAAATCCTGCAGGGCCCTGGTCTCATGGGACAGAGCATTCCATCAGGTCGGAGCCATCACCGAGAAGGTCCTGGCCCTGGTGGAGGATCATCTGACTTCCTTAGGGCCAGGGACCTCTAAACTATGATTATTCATGGACCTTAAGGCAGACCAGGAGAGGCGGTCCCATAAATACTACTCACCTGATCCAACAGCCAGGGTCTACTTACCGAATTAAAGAAAGCCATGGAGGGTAATGCTACCAGTGGCTGGTTGCTGGAAACTGCAAGAGGGAAGAGTGCTGTTGTGATTCAGTCCTGCTTGCCAGTTTCCCTTTGGGGGCGTCTGTTTGGCCACTGTGGGAACTGGATGTTAGGCTAGATGGGCCCTTGACCTGCTCCAGCAACCCAGCCAGATGGGCAGGGCTTAAATAATAATATTAGGATTATGGAATCTCTAGGAGCAGAGCAGCCTGCTGAGATTTCTAGGTTCTTAGGGGGCAATAGGCCACTGCAAGAACAGGATGCCTGGTGGGCCAGAGCGCCCCCCCCCCCCGGCCTGATCCATCAGGTCATCTTACGATGTTCTTATAGTTACCCCAAAACCATGTCACCGCATGAAAGATGAATGTTCCTACTTCCCTGACATGGTTTACCTTAAACGGCTACAAGGTTTGATCAGTAGAGTAATCCGTTAAAGCAGGGATTTGTGGGAGTGGGAGACATCCGGACCCCAACTCACATAACCTCTGACTATTGGTCACATTGCCTGGATGCAAGGTAATGGGAGTTGATGTCCCTCTCCCTTGAGGTAAAGCTTCAGTTGATCGGTTGGGTGGTAGGCTTCGCTTTAACTAGCAAGGCCGAGGCTCAAGGGCACACCAGTTTTCTGTTGTTCTGGTGGCTTGCTGTTGTAGCTGTGCGCCTGGGTAGATCTCAAAGGAAGATGCTGGGCAGATGGAAGAAAGTTCCTTCTTCACGCAGCACAGAATTAAACTGTGGAACTCGTGTCCGCAGGAGGCAGTGATGGCCACCAACACGAATGGCTTTAAAAGAGGATTGCACAAATTCATGGAGGCTATCAATGGCTTCTAGCACAAGGACTCTGCTCTGTCTCCGCTGCTCCTGTGGTTTCCAGCTTCTTGAATGCCACTCGCTGGAGACCACAGGAGAGGAGAGTGAGTGCTCTTCTGTTCAGGTCCTGCTTCTGGGTTTCCCAAAATGGGCATCTGCTTGGTCACTGGGAAACAGGGGTGCGAACTTGAATAAAATACTGCATGGGCCCAGGTAAGCCCTGCCCCGCGTAATCAATCACACACCCATATTTCATTTGTGGGGCCTAGGAGTTGGCTCCTATGCTGTGAAAACAGGATGCTGGACTAGATGGGCCATTGGCCTGATCCAGCCAACTGTTCTTACGCTCTTATGAACATGCCTTGCCTTTTAACAGCGTGGGATCTTTGTTGTACGGAATTTCAGGGTTTCTCTTCCTTCAGTATCTCCTAACGTTCTCCTTTCCACCCTGCACAGGCATCCCGCCACCCGGGTCGTTCCCTCCGCCAGTGCCGCCACCAGGAGCCATGCCCCCGGGGATGCCCCCAGCCATGCCGCCCCCACCCATGCCGCCTGGCGCCGGTGCCCCAGGACCGCCTTCCGGAGGTGCTCCTGGAGGGGCACACCCTCCCCACCCGCATCCTTTCCCTCCAGGTGGGATGCATCCAGGTACGTTTTGCCTTTGGGGGCAACTCTTCGTCTTCCTCTCTGCAAAATAAACACAGCACCCTCCGTTGCAGTGGACCTCTGCCTTCCTCTTAGGACACTTACCGTTTTCATTTTAACTAAACAATTTTTATACTGCTTATTGTAGTCTCTAAGCAATATAACAATGTACAATACAGCCGTACCTTGGTTTTCGAACAGCTTAGTTCCCGAACGTTTTGGCTCCCAAACGTCGCAAACCCGGAAGTGACTGTTCCAGTTTGCGAACTATTTTTGGAAGCCGAACGTCCGACGGGGCTTCTGATTGGCTGCAGGAACTTCCTGCAGCCAATCAGAAGCCGCGGTTTGGTTTTCGAACGTTTTGGAAGTCGAACAGACTTCCGGAACGGGTTCCATTCGACTTCCAAGGTGCGACTGTATAAAGAATACAATCCGGTTAAAATCATAAAATCAGACTTCAGTAAAAATTGCTTGCTGGAGTAAAATCTTCACTGGGCGCTGGAATGTCAGAAGGGAGCAGGCTTGTCTGACCTATGGAACTCACTTCCAGCTGAGGTCGAACAGGCCCTTTACCTGCTGAACTTCTGGTGCCCAGTGGAGGCTTTTTATTTCCTTATTTTATTCCCTTTTTATTTTGTGGAACTGGGCCCTTGATATCGACTGCAGCACCTGGGTCATGGGGAACTACTAACAGTGTTTTCCCGAAGACCTTAGTGATTGAGCAGGGATATGAGAGATCAGGCAGTCCCTGAGGCAAATAGTTAAGGGTCTTGTAAGATGTGCAGAGGTGTGTCTGGCACCCTCACTGCACAGCTTCTAGCGACTGCCGAAGACTTACCTCTTCACGCTCTTTCTTGCCGCTTGAGTTTCCAGAACCCATTTTATTTTTGCAATTGCAAGTACAGTCATACCTCGGGTTACAGACGCTTCAGGTTGCATGTTTTCATGTTGCGCACTGCGCCAAACCCTGAAGTATCGGAACAGCTGACTTCTGGGTTTCGGTGCTCGTGCATGTGCAGAAGCGCTAAATTGCGCTTTGCGCATGTGCAGAAGCGCCGAATTGCAACCCGTGTGTGTGCAGACGCAGCGCTGCGGGTTGCGAACGTGCCTCCCGCACGGATCACGATTGCATCCCGAGCGTCCACTGTAGTTTCAAACTTAACGTTGTGTTTTGATGTTGCACCTGCCCTGGAATCTTCGGGTGGAGGGCAGATAATAAATAACGCTACTCCCACTATTCCTACTAACTTCTGCATCTGCGTTTCCAGGAATGCCACAGATGCAGGTACATCACGGGATGCCCGGGATGGGCCCTCATCACCCAGGACCGCCGGGGGCAGGAGGCCAGCCGCCCCCTCGCCCTCCCCCAGGCATGCCCCACCCTGGCCCCCCGCCCATGGGCATGCCGCCCCGGGGCCCTCACTTTGGATCGCCGATGGGTAAGTGCCAACAAGCCTTGGGGCGGTTAGGATCCTTCCAAGTTTCTCTTTTTGTTTAGTACAGAAACTCCTTTGGGAGGTGAATCTTTTCAGCTGGTTTCTTCCTTATGCCCTGTTCTTTCATTTGCATGAAGTGGAACTACAGATCTCAAATCCAGACGGGTGTGTGTGTGTGCGTGTGTGTGTGTTAAACCTTTCCCCACGTAATGCTTCTTTTGGCGGGGGCACTTGCTCATTCTGTGCTGTCCGTTGTTTCTCCCGGGCTGTTGTCTAATCCAGATACCTCCTCTTCTTCCTCCACCAGGTCATCCTGGCCCCATGCCCCCACACGGGATGCGTGGGCCGCCTCCCTTGATGCCACCCCACGGATACAACGGGCCCCCTCGGCCCCCGCCCTACGGCTACCAGCGCATCCCTCTCCCCCCTCGGCCCACCCAGAGACCCATGGTGCCTCCACGGGGGCCGATGCGAGGGCCCATGCCTCCCTAGGCAAGACAGCCCGACCACAGGCCGGCGTAAGAAAAGGATCTTCCTTCCTTCCATGGATTCCTCAGATTTATCTCTTTCTTTCTTTTCTCTTCGGACAAACATTCCAGTGTTTCATGTTTTTGCTTTCCCTGCGTGAAAAGAGGCTGCCCACCAACTTGGCAGTGTTGAGGGTCTTTGCTTATCCTTCATGTTATTAATATTTTTTTTAGCTCCATCGCCTCCTGGAAGAAGGAACAGGGTTTTAACGTTATTTTTTTATTACTGTTGTTACAATTCCTCTTTGTGACACCCAAATTAGCCATGTGATTTGCAAATAAAAGTCTGGGAAGATGCTCCTAATATTAATTTTTTTAAAAAAGAAAAAAATAACAGTGTTCCTTCTACCAGCACCCACCCATCCTTAGGGCTCCGGCTGGTTATTTTTAGGCTTCTGTGGTGGATTTTCTCTAATTAACCACACCAGTTGTGATCTCTAAGCTTTAGTTGGTTAAAAAAAACAACAACAGCTGCTGGGGAACCCACAAAAGTGGAGTCTAGAGGCCTATGTATCACACAGGCTTATAGAGAGGCATTCCGCCACCTTACATTTACACATGTATAGAAATGAAGTCACATTCTCAGAGGAAAAGCGGGTATTGTCTGATCTGGATGCCTGATTCAGCAAGATGAACAGGATGTCTGCTCTCAAAGGCTCTCTTTCCTGTTCATATTTGCATGACACACTTTAAAGACAGTCTGAGTAAGCAGATTCTCTTACCAATACCCTTTCACCCCCCCCCCCAATCTCTTCACATGTAGGCTGTCTTATGAAAGATATACAGTGGTACCTCAGGTTACATATGCTTCAGGTTACAGACTCCGCTAACCCAGAAATACTGCTTCAGGTTAAGAACTTTGCTTCAGGATGAGAGCAGAAATCATGCTCCGGCGGCGCGGCGGCAGCAGAAGGCCCCATTAGCTAAAGTGGTGCTTCAGGTTAAGAACAGTTTCAGGTTAAGTACGGACCTCCGGAACGAATTAAGTACCTAACCTGAGGCACCACTGTACTATAATTCCCACCACATCTCCAAAGGTCCAACAGGGTGCCAGACGCTGTCTACGAGTGCCTTCGGGACTATGTGCAGTCTATCATAGGTGGTTGGCTGTGGGGTTCAGCATTTTGGCACCCTAATCCTTAATGCTGATTTTATTCTGGGTGTGTTCAGTGAAAAATTGCTTCACCTCCAAAACCAGCAGCTTAGGGGTGTGAGTATTTTTTGGGGGGGCGGGGGGGTGTTTATTCATCCTACCTCTCTTTTAAATCAGAACCAGTGAAGGCGGTGAATGTCCTGTGTGAGTGCCTGGAGGCGGTTGGAGGATGGATAGCTGCTAACAGATTGAGGTTGAATCCTGACAAGACAGAAGTACTGTTTTTGGGGGACAGGAGGCAAGCGGGTGTGGAGGACTCCCTGGTCATGAATGGGGTAACTGTGCCCTTGAAGGACCAGATGCACAGCCTGGGAGTCATTTTGGACTCACAGCTGTCCATGGAAGCGCAGGTTAATTCTGTGTCCAGGGCGGCTGTCTACCAGCTCCTGTCTACGCAGGCTGAGACCCTTACCTGCCCGTGGACTGTCTTGCCAGAGTGGTGCATGCTCTGGTTATCTTCCGCTTGGACTACTGCAATGTGCTCTATGTGGGGCTACCTTTGAAGGTGACCTGGAAACTGCAATTAATCCAGAATGCAGCAGCTAGACTGGTAACTGGGAGCGGCTGCCAAGACCACATAACACCAGTCCTGAAAGATCTGCATTGGCTCCCAGTATGTTTCCGAGCACAATTCAAAGAGACCCTAAACGGCCTCAGCCCAGTATACCTGAAGGAGTGTCTCCACCCCCATCGTTCAATCCAGACACACAGATCCCGCGCCGAGGGCCTTCTGGCAGTTCCCTCATTGCGAGAAGTGAGGTTACAGGGAACCAGACAGGGCCTTCTTGGTAGTGGCACCTGCCCTGTGGAACACCCTCCCATCAGATGTCAAGGAAATAAGCAGCTATCTTATTTTTAAAAGACATCTGAAGGCAGCCCTGTTTAGGGAAGTTTTTAATATTTAATTCTGTATTGTTTTTAACACTCGATGGGGGCCACTCAGAGTGGCTGGAGAAACTCAGCCAGATGGGTGGGGTATAAATATATTATTATTATTATTATTATTATTATTCACCCTGCCAAAAATGGCTCCCAGACTAGCTGGTGTGGGAAGCTGCCTTACACTGAGTCAGATCATTGGTCCATATACCTCAGGATTGTCTGCACTAACTGGCAGCCGCTTTCCAGGGGTTTCAGGCAGAGTTGTTGCCCAGCGCTACTCAGAGATGCCATTGGGGGATTGAACCTGGGGCAAGGAAGATTCTCTGCCACTGAGCTATGGCTTAAAATGCAATCAGTTTGTATGGAGAACTTGCAGGATAGGCCACTTGGCTTTTCCTCTTAAGCCGTTTGGTGCAGATGTTGCAGCTTAACAAGGATAAGAACATGCCAGCCAGGCCAGGTCTTGGGAGGAAATTGCTCTCTGCCTTCCCAGGGTCAGTTTTGAAGTTTGTGCAAGAAAAGCAGGGTGGAAACACTATACTGGTTACTGTGCGGAGCAGAAGGTTCTTCGCAACGTGCCCCGGGGTAAACGGTGTGTATAACGCAGAACGTGATTGACAAGTTTCCGGAACAACTCACTCGGTGTGATCACAGGGAGGGAAACTGATAATTAAGCCAGCAATTCAATTAAAAGAAGAAGAATCAGTGCATGGAGAACTTGACACCTTCCTTGACAGCCTGAGAGGGTTCAGATTTAACATTATGCAAAGGGTCTCTCTGCCACCGACATTTTGATTTCAGAAGTTGTTGCCTTAAAACAGATTATTTTCATGTACCCCAGGAGTTCTCCAACTGTTTTGGACTGGAACTCCCATCAGTCCTTGCTTGGGGGAATTGCACAAAATTTCTTTTGGGTACCAGGTTACCTGACGTTTAAGGGGTGAGAAAGTCCTTAATGTAGCACGTGGTTAAACTATGAAACTAGCTCCCAAGGGGCAGTGATAGCCCCGTAGGACTGGACAAATTAATGGAGAGGGCTATCAAAGGTTACTGTCCATGGCAGAGGCTATGCTTTGCTTCCACAGTTGGAGACAGATATGCTTCTCAATGCCAGTTGTGGGAAAGAACAGGAGGGGAGATTTGCTCTTGTGCTCGGGCCCAGCCTGTGGGTTTCCCTCGGACATCTGGGTGGCCACTGTGAGAACAGGATGCTAGACTAGATGGGCCACTGGCCTGATCTAGCTCCTCTTAACGTTTTTAAAGCTGGAAGCAGTAAGATTGGGCCTCGACTATCCCATTGGTCACCTGTGAACCAACTCATTGCGACGATAAAGGTAAAGGGACCCCTGACCATTAGGTCCAGTCGTGGCCAACTCTGGGATTACGGCGCTCATCTTGCTTTATTGGCCGAGGGAGCCGGTGTACAGCTTCCGGGTCATGTGGCCAGCATGACTAAGCCGCTTCTGGTGAATCAGAGCGGCGCACGGAAACGCCATTTACCTTCCCACCGGAGTGGTACCCATTTATCTACCGGTACTTGCACTTTGATGTGCTTTCGAACTGCTAGGTTGGCAGGAGCAGGGACTGAGCAACGGGTGCTCACCCCGTCACGGGGATTTGAACCGCCGACCTTCTGATCGGCAAGTCCTAGGCTCTGTGGTTTAACCCACAGTGCCACCCGCGTCCCAGATATATTGTGACGATATACACCCCTAAACACGAAGGACTGCGCCGCAGCTTCCTTCCACTAGAGGTCGCAGCTCAAAGAACCAAACCTTTGGAGAACTCTTCCGGATTCCTTTCACGTGCATTCCCAGGGGACGTTTCCAGACTGTCGCTATTTTGGGGTGGGAATCAGTCATGCGCCGGTGGTGCAGTTGCAGCGGGAGGTGTTGCGCAACAAACACATTTCCCCCATCCAAAGACCCCGAGCTTTTGCGATAAGAAAAGTGATGGGGAGTTGCACAGCGGGGTATGTATGTTCCCTTGCTGCAACGTATAATCTAGCCTTGCAATCAAAGCGGGATGAAATTAGCTAAGTAATTAGCTGGTGTCATCTAGCCTCCCTGCAAACAGATGCAGGAGGAGCAGTCTATATAAGCCAGGCTTCCTCAACCTCGGCCCTCCAGATGTTTTTGGCCTACAACTCCCATGATCCCTAGCTAGCAGGACCAGTGGTCAGGGATGATGGGAATTATAGTCTCAAAACATCTGGAGGGCCGAGGTTGAGGAAGCCTGATATAGGCAGCATATCTGAAAGAACTCCAGCTTGCTTGGAGCAGCACCACAGGAAGGCGAATGATGGAGGAATCCGGAGGACTTTTTCACGCGGTCCGTTGTTAAACTGTGGAACTCACTTCCACAGCAGGCAGTGTGGGCCAGCAACTTAGATTCCTTTTTAAAAAGGATTGGGCAGATCCATGGAGTAGAAGAGGGCTACGCTCTGCCTCCACAGCTGGGGGTAATAATGAATATTAGTTACTGGAAATGGCAGGAGCAGAAAGTGCCCTTGCTTGCTATGAGGTTCCTGCTCTTTACTACGAGGTTGCTCTGCGGTTCCTGCTCTTTGGGCCAATCAGGATGCTGAACTGGGTGAGCCCTCTGGCCTCATCCTGCAGCCAGGCTCTCCTGATGTCCTTATACAGGTGAAACTCGAAAAATTAGAATATCGTGGAAACCATTTATTTCAGTAATTCAACTTAGAAGGTGAAACTAATATATGCGATAGACTCATGACATGCAAAGATATGTCAAGGCTTTATTTGTTATAATTATAACAATCTCAGAAAATTAGAACGTTAACTGAAATCAGCAAAACAAGGATTGCAAATAGAGCAATATTGGACCTCTGAGAAGTAGAAACATGCATATGTACTCAGTACTTGCATGAATTACTGCCTCAATGCGGCGTGGCATAGATGCTATCAGCCTGTGGCACTGCTGAAGTGTTATGGAAGACCAGGATGCTTCAGCTCTTCTGCATTGCTCGGTCTCATGTCTCTCATCTTTCTCTTGGCAGTGCCCCATAGATTCTCTATGGGGTTCAGGTCAGGTGAGTTTGCTGGCCAATCAAGCACAGTAATCCCATGGGCATTGAACCAGGTTTTGGTACTTTTGGCAGCGTGGGCAGTCTATCTCATATATTAGTTTCACCTTTTAAGTTGAATTACTGAAATAAATGAACTTTCCCACAATATTCTGATTTTTCGAGTTTCATCTGTAGAATCTCCAGGTCCAGACACAGATTCCTATGTTCTTGGGGCAGTTGG